TGAACTGGCTTTATTCAACTCAAATAAATACTTTGAATGGAAATTTAAAAGAAATTTTTAGTTTAGATGAATGAAAGCAGTTTTCATTCAACCAACACAAACGTTAAAATCTAACCTCATCAATTCAAACCTCAAAACCTCAAAATCTTTAAACTTCAAACACACCTCTGCCCTGTTTTACTTTTTACAGCATACCAGACAGTGTTAATTCAGCAGTTAAGCTACCCTATAAAATAGCTAAAGGGGTAATCCAAGCATGGCGAACAGACCTGAAACGGAACATTTCAAAAGTAATGAAAACCAACCATGTTGCAAATTTCAATCTGTGTCAGGGAAGGAAACATTTTTACTGCGTCTCAAAGAGCAACTAGTTTGCTATTCCAGGTTGGCTAATAGCGGTCAAGTCATTTGAAAGTCCAAGCATCAGTGCATCACAGCATGACAACAGATTTTGGCAAATCTCAGGAGGCTGTAAAGAGAAAGTTGAAAAGGTCTATTACTCAGAAAAAGAAATGCCTTTTGGACGGTACATCAGAAAGGGCCACTGGAGACGCAGTAAGACTAAAAGTTTTGTCCAGTCAAAATAAGAGACTAAGCTAAGTTGGACCCACAACAGCCTTTACGTTATCTATTTACCATCAGAATCACACACTTACCATCAACATTCATTTACCTTCAAGAGAAGAAAGGGTGTGATGATATTGTAAGCCATGTGAAAATAATCTCCAACAATAGGTTTGTTCAGAGGGAGCCACTCAAGAGGAACCAGGATCTGAGAAGAAAACACAGGAAGAAATAAACCACAATCTACGATCATCTCTCTAAGCCTCACCCTAAACCAAAACTCCAGTGGAACTCTAACTCAGCATTTTGTTTAATACATGCTGTATTAAATTTTAGCTTTTTCCAATTTATTAAATACATACATACATACATACATCATCTAAACCGCTTATCCTTCTGGGTCGCGGTGGGGTGCTGGAGCCTATCCCAGCTGTCATTGGGCGGAAGGCAGGATACACCCTGGACAGGTCGCCAGTCCATCGCAGGGCAGACAGACAGACATACACAGTCACACACACATTCACACCTAGGGGCAATTTAGCACGTCCAATTGGCCTGAATGCATGTTTTAGGACTGTGGGAGGAAACCGGAGTACCCGGAGGAAACCCACGCAGACACGGGGAGAACATGCAAACTCCAATTTATTAAATATCAACCACATATTATTAGAAAAAATAGGGGCTGAAATGAAGGGTCGTTTTCTGGACACAGACTGAGCCTAGTCTTGAACTGAATTGCACTGCCAATTAAGACTTAAAGCACTGAAAATGCTTTTTAGTGACTGAGGTGTTATGAGGTGAAGTTCAGGTCAGTCTATGACCTAGTAAATGTCTTTCTTCAGTATCAGAGGCAACACTGCAGGTTACAAATGTCAAATGTCATAAAAGCTGAGCTGCCAACCATGTGGCCAAAAGTTAGTCATAATATGTGACTAAGAAGCAAAATATTACTTACAGCTTGTAGTCATAGTCTGCATTAGCCAGAAAATCTTTGATTTATTTTGGAAAATGTACAACTCGCTGGCTTGTGCTGATTGGTTTAAAGATTAAAATCAGATGCTAGATGATTCATTGCTACTCTATGATTTGTTTGGTCCAAACAAATCAAATGTTGCATATCTGCTCTGAGAGCAACATGAACAGTCTAGACAAACAGATTCCTGTTCTTTTCTTCTGCAGGAATTTACTGACCATAACTATGGGCCTCCCAAAGTCCAGGACCCAGTTCTGGATGGTGAAAAAGCACCAGAGATCTAACTGGAACTGAGGCCTCTTCACAGAGGAGTCTATGTCCCTGGATCCTTGTCTGTGACTGTGGAAGAAAAAACAGATAATGACTCCACCATAGTAGATTTCACCATAGTAGATTTCATAATAGATTTTTGGAGCTAATATTTATGTACAGATGTTTCATGATAAGAGTTGATAAGAAAGATCATAAGAGTTTCCTGCAAGCAAAATATTTACCTTTCAAGTATTTTCTGATCCTTACAACTGATATAACAATACTTTCCCGAAGAGAAAATAGTCTTGGAATGGCTACTTAAAAAATTGGCACTTCACATTTTGTTTTCTGATACAAACACTGTATATATACATATACATATATACAGTGCATGCATATTTATATATAACCTTTATTTGAAAAGAAAATCAAGCTCCACTCTTGCTTCAGATCTGAAAAACTCTACAGCTGTTTCTGTCCATCCTTCCACTGTGAGAAGACAACTCAACACTGTGAGTCTGAAAGGATGTGTAGCTGTTAAGAAGCCACTACATGTCAATTTGCAAATCAAATTAAGCTGTTGGTGTTCTCAAAATAATGAACAGACCACCCCATAGTCAACAGTGCTGAACCTGTTTTGGATTATTTCAATTGTGAGAAGCAGAAAATACAACCAACTCTCTCTCTCTGTCTCTCTCTCTCTTTCTCTCATAATATCTCTATAATCTCTATAATGCACATGTATTTATGTTTTACAGTTCAGAGTGGCAAATTCAGCATTAAAAGTAAGTACTAGGACCTGTGGCGAATGTAGTCCTCTAAAAAGTTATCAGGACTCTATCTACAGTATACATTATGAGTGAGGGGGCAACAGAGGTTTGGGGGAACCCAGTTTCTTCCCTCATTTCAGAGTCAGTAGGAATGCAGAGAGGATGCAGTGCATCTCCTGTTTTACATAGCCTGCAGAGACACACTCTAATCTCATCTGATTTGATCCTTTCAAATCCCCACCAAAAATCCTCTCACTGCGGGTTGGCCTCTGAGCCATCACGCAGGCTGCCTCCTGCACTGTGCATACTGAATATCAGGTGGATGCTGCGCTCTGTTCGATTATTCCTTTGTTAACAATGCCTTTCCAGTCTTTCTCCAACACTTTACCTAATCTGCTTGTATAATAGATGAAATCCTTCATAGACCATTATTTGTGCTAAAAGCCTCCAACACTTCCTTGCAGGGACCTGTAAACTCACAAACACTTACTAACACTCTTGTAATGATCTCAGACAGACAGGAAACAAACACACATTCAAACTTATTTAGTAGCCTGCAGCCCGAGAGAAGCCTAGGTGTGTAACACACAGCTGAGATGGCTTTCAGCTCAGATCAATGGCCTGTTAAAAGGGCTCAAACCTAGACAGAAAAGCCAGCTGCAGGGCAGCGTCCTGCCTCTTTCGCAGAGCGGGCTGCATTGCACTCCACTCAGCACCATGAAGAAGACTGCCAGTTCCTGAAGTGTTCCTCTCTTCTTCTCCGCTCTTCCTGACTGGCATGCAGGGCCCGCAGATCAAAGGTGAACGACCTCTGTCAAAGCCCTCCGCACAGGGACGTTAGCTGTGGTGGGGTCAGCCCAGACATGCAAGGTTTCCCCTCGGTCTCCTGCTTACAGAGCAGCGGCGTGGCCATGGCTGGCCGGCACTGTCCTCGCTCTGTAACCTGAGATGCGGGTCGCTGACTCCGCTGCCTTTCATTCAGCCTGTGCGCTGCGCTGTTCCTCCCTCAGCGAGTCCACTTTCTTTCCACATCTGCTACTGAAAAGCGGGAACAGCCCTTCAGGGCCGGCAAGCTAGCCACAAAACAGCGAGTCTGCATGCTGCATAGGCCACTACTGTATTTTCACATGAACTCTTAATCCCACCCCTCCCTCTCGTGTTTTAGGACTTAATTTTGCTTTCCAAGTAAACGCGCTCATACATTTCGACTGCCATCATAACAACACTGAAAGGGGAATTCCACCGATTTTCTAAATTTCTTTATGAGCCAATGGTTGAGATGTAAACATGGTCGTTCAGAGTGTTTTGATGTGAAATGGTTTATCTGCAGAGAAACGTAGCGATTCAGATGTCTTTACAATAGTGGCGAAAAGAACCAGGGGTTGCCATGTCTACAACACAAATGTAGCCATTTTATTTACCATCCAGAAACCACCCGTGAACCCACACGAGTGTTGTATGTAATGTTAATGATGGTAAAGTAATGGTCAATCTGAAAGAATAAGTTTTCTTTAGGAACTGTGTTGCCCTAGAACACCCTTCATGTACCCCTCCACCGTGAATACATTAAAATAAGTGGATTATAATACGTTTTAGAAAAAAAAATATTTATATTTATAAAAAATAAACCATAAAACAACAACATTTCAGACATCAGGCTGAGTATTCATAACTATTTCATGTAATACCTTTCTGTGAGGGAGCTTTTAGAGGCATTGAACATTTTAGAAGTCTGGTTCCTATCACCACCACTGTGAACAATTCTGACTTGGTAAGTTTCACTAGACCCTTGCTTTACTTTACCTTAAACTGTCCTAAACATTAAAACTATATCCTTGAAATATATATTTAGATTTTACATAAAATGTATATTTAATCCTATGTACCACGTAAACTACAATACAAATACTGTAGCATTGGGCCTAAAATTAGCATGACCCTAGTAACATAACCGTAATTACAGCATATCATGATGTGTTATAATGTGTGTCCACTGAACTGCTTAAATTCTACTAATATTTAAGTAATGATTAATGTATTTAACATTCCCGTCTGAAAACATTGGCCTTTTGCATCGCTAATTATCACAATAATCACAGTAATCACAAAAAGATTGTTTAGAAACAGATTTTTTCCTAAGTGTAAGTGGATTATTTTACAATCTTTGTGGTCACAGTCAAAGAGGCAAAGTTCAGATGTATAACTCAATCACATCAGTTCTCTGATCACATAATATGGCTTACAAAATGTGTTGATTGATGATGAAAAGGTAAGATAACTTTCCCTCGGAAATCAATGAGATAACATAAACTTCAAATAAACATGTAAAATTTCTGCGGTCTATGCAGCGCTAATTTATAATAAGAGTCCTCGGGAAATTTGTCGAGGACTTTTATTGTACAAAATAACCCCAGGAACCGTATAACTACTCTATCCTGTTATTACTCGGACTCTCGCTAACTTCGGTGACTGCAGCTCTTCCCTGTTTCGGCTAAACTGGTGGCAAAGCTTAAACTCTTATCAACTATAACACCCACAGGCTCGTTTTATTCGCAGCAGAACCTTATAAACTTGTCTCGGTTGTGCTTTAAGGATAAGTAGTTAACGGGCGGGTCGCACCGTCAGTCGGAGTAAACCTGAAATCCGCCGATGTTGACTCCGCTCAGCTGTAGCTGCTGTGGCTAACTTAGCCTGCTGGCTAGCAGCGACGTTTCTGACAGTTATCGAGCTGACCGCGGTCTGGGTGTTAACTGAAGTCCTCAGCGCTTGTTAAGATGGCTAAAAGAAAAAGATGTACCTGATGGATGTGTTTGTTGTGTTTCGTGCTAGACGTCGCAGATTTAAGTAACGTAACTCTAGTTAGCGAGCCAGCTTGGCTAACTAGTTAAACTGCTCTTGATATTCTCCCTCGAATCGGTTAACTGGCTGTACCAGCAGGTAACCGGACCTATACACACTCTAACTAACGTTTAAGTTGGGTAAAAGCAGCGTGTTAGCTTTTCAGCCTGTTTATAGCTACCAGACAGCAATGAGTTTCGGCAAAACCGATGCCGACTATCACTTTCACATGAGCTTGTGAGCTCAAACGGGTATTTTAATGGGAGGCGGGCCGTACTGTAGTGAATCTTGTGGGCGATATTTGCGAAAACGAAGGCGGCACCGGTGGCCCGAATGGAGTCCCTGGCAGGGTACGTTCACAAAGCGGCCAGTGAAGGCAGAGTCCTGACACTGGCCGCCCTGTTGCTGAACCACTCTGTGACTGAGACACAGTACCTGCTGGATTATGTGACGCAACTGGCCGGTCAGCGCTCCACGCCTCTTATCATTGCTGCAAGGAACGGTCATGACAAAGTGGTCCGCCTCCTTCTGGACCACTACCGAGTGGATACTGAGCAGACGGGGACAGTTCGGTTTGACGGGTAAGTGCAGAGCTTAGTGATCTGTAGATTTAAGTGCTGGGTCTTTTATCTTATTTCAAGTCTAGTTTATTTGGGAATCCCCTGCTATTGCTGATGTCATTCTTATTGTTTTTACGTTCCTCACACTCTCCCAGGTATGTCATCGATGGAGCCACAGCTCTTTGGTGTGCAGCAGGTGCAGGACACTTTGAGGTGGTACGACTTCTCGTGTCACACAATGCCAATGTGAACCACACCACCCTCACCAACTCCACTCCTCTCAGGGCTGCCTGCTTCGATGGCCGACTGGACATTGTACGCTACCTGGTGGAGCATAATGCTGATATAAGCATCGCCAACAAGTATGACAACACCTGTTTAATGATCGCTGCTTATAAGGGTCACACAGACGTTGTGCGCTTTTTGCTTGAGCAAAGCGCAGACCCTAACGCAAAGGCTCACTGTGGTGCCACCGCGCTGCACTTTGCTGCCGAGGCCGGTCATCTGGACATTGTGAAGGAGCTGGTGAGATGCCAGGCAGCCATGGTGGTGAACGGCCATGGCATGACTCCCCTCAAAGTGGCAGCGGAAAGCTGTAAGGCAGACGTGGTGGAGCTGCTTCTCTCTCACGCTGACTGTGACCCTCACAGCCGCATTGAAGCTTTAGAGCTGCTGGGAGCTTCCTTTGCTAATGACCGGGAAAATTATGACATTTTAAAGACTTACCATTATCTGTATCTGGCCATGTTGGAGCGTTACCGTGACCCTGAGAGGATTATTGCCAAAGAGCTACCGCCACCTGTGGAGGCTTACGGGGGCCGTGTGGAGTGTAGGACTCCTCAGGATCTGGAGGCCATCAGGCAGGACCGGGACGCGTTGCACATGGAAGGGCTAATGGTTCGTGAGCGCATATTGGGTTCGGACAACATTGACGTTTCGCATCCCATAATTTATCGTGGTGCCGTCTATGCTGACAACATGGAGTTTGAGCAGTGCATTAAGCTATGGCTGCATGCATTGCGTCTGCGTCAGCGAAGCAACCGCAATACACATAAGGACCTCTTGCGCTTCGCCCAGGTGTTCTCACAGATGGTACACCTGAAGGAACCAGTACGGGCCTCAGATGTGGAACAGGTGCTGCACTGTAGCGTGTTGGAGATCCGACGCAGCATGGCACGCGTGGAAGCAGCTTCTGAGGCCGAGCTTCCCGCCTGCACTGACAACTATGAATCCAACATCTTCACTTTTCTCTACCTGGTGTGCATCTCCACCAAGACTCAGTGCAGCGAGGAGGACCGAGCGCGGCTCAACAAGCAGATCTATGACCTGATCCGTCTCGATCCGCGCACCAGAGAGGGCTCCTCGCTGCTCCACTTGGCTGCCAGCTCTAGCACACCGGTGGATGACTTCCACACCAACGACGTGTGCAGCTTCCCCAACGCGCAAGTGACCAAACTCCTGCTGGATTGCGGTGCTTTGGTGAATTGCGTAGACAATGAAGGCAACAGCCCTCTGCACCTCATAGTGCAGTACAACCGGCCCATCAGTGACTTCCTCACCCTTCACGCCATCATAATCAGTCTGGTGGAGGCTGGAGCTCACACGGACATGACCAACAAGCAGAAGAAGACTCCACTGGAGAAGAGCACGACAGGTGTGTCCGAGATCCTCTTGAAGACACAGATGAAAATGAGTTTAAAGTGCCTGGCTGCTCGTGCTGTCCGACAGCATCGCATCACCTACCGAGACCAGATTCCTAAAAGCCTCGAGGAGTTTGTTGAGTTTCACTGATCTGTATGTTTTTATCATTGTTTTTTTTTTCAGTTTAAAAAAAAAAACTTTTCTTTTTTACCAATCCAATGGTGCTGGGAATTCTTGATCAAGAATATTTTTTGGTAATTTTGATCTTTTCCTTTGTTGAAAGTGCTAGTCAAAAGGACCTACAGTTGGATTTTACACGCTCTCCTGATGTACTGGTTTATTCAGACTGATAAAAAGTGTCTGTCATGTACTGCTGCAGATTATTCAGCAATGGCAAAGCTATGGGCTGACACCTCAGTCAAATTTTCCTGATATTTTTGTTCTTTTTCATATCAGAAAGTCTGCTTCCTTATCAGTCACGTTCTAGGCTGGCAGTGGTTTTACATGCTCTTCTACAAAGTATTGGGGTATCTTTTGTAACATGCTCTGAAATAACTCCTTGGTGGGGCCATTGCTTAGGAGCTGAACAGACATTGAACTTTTATGTGGGCATCAGTCCATTTGCGAATGACCAAAAAAACTTGACAGAACACCTGTTTGTTTTATTGGCTGCACTTTGCTCTTATGAGTTATTTTTGTTTTATTAACATATTTTATAAAAGAAAAGATTATTTAAAAATAAAGTGAAAAATCTATTTTCTAAGGAATCATTAGCAGAGGATTGATGTGCTAAAACTAATCCTCCTAGAAAAATTCCTTTTATAAGTACACTAAAACGTGCCTGTGACAGGATCTTTAAAGTTTTTTATTTTGTTTTGTCTCTCAGATTTTTCCTTTAACCACTATGCCGCTATAAAGTCATTTATTAAATTTACAGTGATTATTTGCTTTAAGTAGAGTTTTTGGGGGCATAAGCTCTGAGTGGGCTGCAGTCCCTCAAGGGGCCTTACTCTGGAGGGTGCTCCGAGGTTTTTACTTGAGTCTGAGAGAGAAAGAGCATGTCTTCCCTCTTCAGTTGCGTATGCTTGTTTGTGTGAGTGTGATATGAAGAAGGGGATTTGAAAGACGACTTTGCTTCTTGTCCTTGAGAACCAGTGATTGTAACGTGTCAGTGTATTTTTATTTCCAGATTGAATGAACCAACAATAAACACAAAATGAAATGATTTGTCATTTCTCTGCTCTGTAGTTTTCTGATTGAAGACCCAATTTTGTCATTCGTTTGTAGAGTTCAGCCACTTTATTAATGTGTGGTTGTCTCTAATATGCTGCCATGACATGTACATTCAGTTGCAAGTTATGAATCAATTTTGACCACTTTTCAGTCTGTATCAGACATAACAAAATTAAAACTCTGCCTCTCTAAAATGAGTAAACTTATCTCCTCTCCTTGAACTGCACAAGCCTGCCTAAGAGTTGCCAAGCATAGAACCTCACTGAGTAAGTCTTTCAATGAAAGGGTGCATCTAACGAAGGGCCCACTCTGTTTATGTTCTAGCAATATTTGTAAATGTTCAAGTGTACAGTGTTTACAAAGATGTTCATATACACATATTTATGTATGCTATACATCTGTATATTTATATATTATATATATGTTTACTTATTCTGCCAACACATGCCCTTCAGTCACAACCAAGTCACTCGTCAAAGTCCTCAAATACAATCAGTTACCTGACTTATGAGTAGAATTAATGCCAAAACATTGTGAATTAGGAAGTGCGATTGTCTGCAACATGTATGGCAGCTTGTTAGGTACAGCTATAGAGTACCTAATAATGTGGCCACACCATGTATTTAACATAAAAGCTGCCCTTTGTTGAGCTTAGAGTAGCTTTGTAGGTTATCATTAAGTACTCTGGATGACCATCTCTGTGTTTTGAATGTGAGTCACTCGTGTTACTTCCTCTTTAGTGTGATTCAGCTTTGAAAACTGGACTTTGTGAAGAATGAGAAAAGGCTGTAATCCAAAAATTTAACCAAGTTTATTTACTATACCAATACATTAATCAGTTTTGTTCTTAAGGCATTGCTTGTCTCCATCCTCAATCATTTCCTATAGTTCTATAAACATTCTATAAACACCAAAAAGTTGCTCTTGAATCTTTACAAAAGTTCAAAGTATTAAATTTATTAAATTAGTATCTCTTCAGTTACATTTTCTTTAACATAAACACATTCACCTCAGCTTCAGTAGACTGAATAATAATAACACGGTGCTTTCACTCAGGTACAGTCAATACAGTTTCAGTCAAACTTTTACTCATGGTCATGAGTTATATAACTGCAACTGACTTGGCAAGCTGTGTTTTACTGATTGGTCTTCATTGTACTGAACCCTCTCGCACAGTTAGCTGCTTGTGCCCTACCTAAAATCGATAAATGACCAAATTATGACTTTTAAAAATAAAGTGGCAGTTAATACTGTTGCACTAAAATGTGGATAAACTGCTGGCCTGGGAAGAACTGTATAAATGTCTCAGAATGGCTAAATGGCAAATATTTGGCAACTTTGACCTAAAGTCTAGAAGCCCATGGAGGAACTTAAGTCCATTTAAGGTGCAAAGCAGCATCATGGGTGTGTGCGCAGAGACGTCTCCATGTTTATAAAAGATACTCAATGTATGTGTTTTATATTAGATTGCTGCTCCATTTCAAAAGGCACTAACTGTTTATTTACAAAGTTCAAGTCTACATGTGCAAGTGCATCAACATGGATTTGCAAAAAAAAATCTCTTGAAAAATATCAAGTGCTGATTTGTCATCACCGTAAAGCTGAAGTTGTGGACTACTAAAAAGCCTTTTCCTATGTTGTTTGAACTTTTATCTAAAAATATGCTGTACTTTATAAGCGTAGTGTATTGTTTTATTTACAAGTCCACTGTGTTTGTTTTCACCACTGCTCTTTTAAAACTAAAATGAAATAAGACTTTGGTCTTGTATATTCAAGACCTACCAAGTCTTAAGTCTTCGGTCATAAGTTACACCTCATCAGAGATCCATGTCTTTACTGCAGCACTGCATGCCAAATATGTTGAGACTGAATAGTCCTGTCAGAAAGTGGAAGGGCTCAGCAGTGCATGACAGGTGCTGATTGGCTGGAGTACTGCAAAGACACATCCTCGTTCCTGGAGAGTCCCTGAGTGAAAGTCTGTGAGGGAGTAAGCGCACGCTCGCCATGGCTTTACCGATCCTCCCTGGTCTTCTCATTGGCGACCTGTTCTTCCTTGTGTTGTCTCTGCGTATGAAAGAATCCCAACTGGAGACAAAAGGAGCTGAATGTGAGTTTTTACTCCTAATGTGAAACAGTCATATATATGATTATACTTCTTGACCTTCAGAGTTAAACTAATATATGCAGGATGTAAAGGAACAATTAATTGCCTTTTAATTAAAGCGGTAGGTGATACACTATAATAGAATGTGAAATGTGTGATGATTTTAATTAAAAGCTTACAGAGGTCTCTAAAGGTGGCTGAAGTGAAAGTTATAAATGATTTTTGTTGATATGGCAAACGCTGCAACACGTTATTATTTGTCTAAGTGTATATCTTAACAATGTTGTAATAATGAATCAGAATGACATGCCTTCCAGAGTGCCAGAACTAGCAGCGCCAAAAGCTGTAGGCCTCCCAAAGTGCTTCCGATTATAATCCAGATGGGAATTCTGTAATCTTCATCCTTCCTAATCTCCAGGATTATCTACAGGCATCACAAAACAGAAATGTCAAGTTTAAACTGTCAGTTAAAAAGAGATGTGTGGGATGAAGGTTTTTGTTTCTTGCCTGATTTAACCATTCTCCAGGTTTGGTGGTGATGTGTGCTCTTTTTTGTTTTTCAGTTGGTTTGAATATTTTTTTTTTCCACATTCAACCAAGATGGAACAGTTTAGCTATACTTATAAAAACATTGCAGTGTTATTTTCCTGCTTGGCCTTTAGTAGTTTATAGTGCTTACATGTCTCTTCGGTCTGTCCTCATGCAGGAACAAAGGGCTGTTTGGGCTGAGCTCGATGGCTGCTGTCATCACCAATTCCAGAGCCTTGAAATTTATCTAGAGAAATAAATATATATATATGTTTCCTGAAACTTTCCATTAGAAAATGGAAAGTGGAATGTCTGATGTCATTAGTGTGCATTTCATTGCTTTCCAAGCAATCATTCTTTCAAACGGTCCATATTCTACATTTTTCTTGTATTTTTTACTGAAGTTTATGTACCAAAACAGTGGTAATTATTTTTATGACAGTTTTTGGGTACATAAGGATGGGTATTTTCTAACCCCTTTTTCCCTCACAATTAAAACAGACTATTTTTGTTACTGTGCCTTTAAGATGATACATGCTTTTCACTGGCTTTAACTGGCTGACTTCTTCACAAGTGAGATGAGGCACAACATGTTCAAAACACACTCTGGGTTAAAATGACCAGAACAAACTGAAGTTCAGACTAAAATGCTTGGGTTTGCTGGAACTCCAGCCATGTTTTACAGATGTCTAGATCCTTTGGAAGGCAACAATAACGCATTTGCTTCTTGACAGCCAGTACAATGTTTAATCGTTTTCCCAGCATCCTCTGCTCTAATAACTCTGCCAGAGACTGACTGCTGGAACAGTTTCTTATCACTTTAGTGAAATGAGTGCTCTAAACTGTTGTGGTCATATGTAAGTTCATGGTTGTGATGTCACAACTCAGTCAAAACAAGCTGCTTTTACAGCTTAGTTACCTTATATGGACTGGGGAGTGATAGGTATGTTAAGTACAAATAAAAGAAAGTACCTTTCCATCATATTGCACGTTTCCATCATATTGACCCTTCAAATTTAAATATCACTATTTTTGATCTGTGTTAATGAGCATTAGTCACTAAACTGATTATTGCTGTTTATCAAATATCAGCTTGTGAACAAAGGAAGAAAACCTATAAACATATATGCACTTACTGTCAGTAGTGTGTGGAGGTTTAACCTTCCTGTCACAGTCACACTGATGCCCTGTTGGGGCAGCAGGGAGAGTCTGCACTGGGCAGATAAAGCCAGACCAGTTGAAGAATTCTATTTAACACAAGACCAAACAGGGGTGAGAAGGCACCTGAAGTAAAATAGCAGGATGCATTCAGAGCCTACTGCAACTAAGATGCTATATTATATCTTTTTTATGTGATGATAATTTTAATTGCTATTAAAAAAAAACAAATATGCAGTCGCTTAATAGAAACCAGAGTGCTGGAGCTCTTGAATGCTTTTACAACAATTTGACTGAATAAAGGAAAAGGCAAGGAAAAGATACTTACCAGCTGTGGGATGGGTGTGAGGTCTTCTTTAGAAGGCAGACCTGCCGCAGTGACACGTGGAGCAATGCACTGGGAGCCAGCAGACTGAGGAAAACAAACAAGACTGTAAACTAAGAAAACTCTACACTCTGAATTATCCTTGACAGAAAAGCACACATAGATTTACTACTATGCACCAGTTAGCATTTTACTCTACTAACAGGACAACTTCTGTCAAGTTCAAATGTAAAAAAAACTGACAATATTTTGTAGCTAACAAAAGGTCTCATTCACCAACTGTTCTTTAGAAGAAATTTCTTCTTAAAACCCACTTAAGCAGTTTTCCTGAAGACTCTGATTCACCAATGTTCTTATTTGGGATTTGTTCTTAGTTAAGAACAGAATCTACACACAATCAAGAGCACAAAGGTGTGAACAATTCTGTGGTTTAAGAACATGTCATGAATCTGACGCTGACCTTTTCTTAAGACCTTTTTCCAAGAACAAATAAAAAAAAATAGAGATAATGGTGGATGAGGCCCAATGACATTACATACAGTTCACTGTATAATTATTGGCACTTCTGGTAAAGATAAGCAACCAACTGAAAATGTTTCTGCTGTTCATCAGTTTGATCCTACCCTGAAAGTATAGGAGAATCATTTACAAGGTAAAACTACTCCAAAAAACAAACATGTTCTCAAAATGAAACATTGCCCTGCAGTATTCCCATATGGGAAAAATCAAATTTAAAGGTTATAGATATAACTAAATATACATGAACTGAATAAATGGTACTAATGTCTCTGTTTCTCACTGTATCTTGCATTAACCACATATGTATGCAGTAAGACACAAAATGTATTTCAAATAAACAAGATATCAAATCATAACTGCATTTTCACAGTGTATCAATACCTACAACACTTGCTTTTGCCATGCTAAGGTTAATCTTATAATACTTAAAATTAAAATAGTGAAAAACAAATTCATCTCAAAAGTTATTCCAAACAGTATTTGACAATATTTTGGCTATTTTCATACATTTATTTGATAAATACATTAACATACATTTATTTTTGTATGATACATTTGTATGTGTAATACTTGCCCATACATTTTAAATTATACTTGGTTAACGTGGCAATATGTTCTAAAATACATTTTAGTATTTGGTTTCAGTCTTTATCAAGAGTTCCAATGATTTTACAGGGCACTGTAACTAACAACACGCTGCAAATATTTAGGAATTAATCATTTCTTTATTGGATCCCTACCTGATCAACATTAATGCTTGAAATATACAGCAACTGATTGGTGTTTTTGGTCACTGCGAAAACCTCTAGAGTGAAGAGCAGGTGACTCACAGGAAACAGGCCGAGGTTCTGTATCTGCAATGTAACATGTGAAAAGCAATCAAAGGACTAACAATAGCGCCGATTTCATAACACACTGAAATCTCTTTCAGTGACTGAAGGCTTCATTAATTTGGCCTGAGGCTATATCATGCAGTGAGTCAAAATGTCTGAAGCTGGAGGGGAGATGCAACTTCATAGCACTTGATCCACCACAACAAAAGATTCTTACCCGATAAGACAAGTTGAAGGTTGGCCCGATAACTCCTGGATACCCCTGGGGAGGCTCAGATTTGATTTCAAAGCGAGGAGGGTTAGAATCTCTGGAAGATGAAAAAGGTAAAAGACAGAATGAGACAGTGGCACAATTTAGCTTCTACATGTGTTTTTATTGATGAAAATCATGTACATTCATTGTCTTTTCTCTCATTATGATACAGATAATTAATGTTACAACTAGCTTTATTATTCAAAACGAGCATCTGTTATATTAGCCCACTACCTTGTAAAAAGGAGATCAACCTCATGTCTCAGAGGGTGATATATATCATTGACGTTGTTTTCTGGAGTCATCTCTTCTCCATTGCTACAACAAGTAAACAATCAAACAGTATAACTTTACATAAGCCAAGTGAAAAAATGACAGTCCTATCCCTGATCTACATGATGAGCTAATGCAGTTCTGAGACACTAATATTTTTGGTCTTACCTGGAGACATTCAGCGAAACTTGTATGTGATCTAGAAAGATAGACCTGCTAAACTCAAACTCCAACCGAAAGATCACCTAGGATATAAAACAAAAAACTTGTTACTTGCTGGTAGGGACATGTACACACACACACAGGCCGAATCATTTCACTGTCAGCTGGGAATCTGACCTGTGAACTGCACCATAAAGACAGACCTGAAGCGAGTGAGTGAGATTAACAGCAGGTGTACCAGTTTGCTCTGGCACACTAACAAAACTGAAAAGTTGTTTGTAACACTGTCTCTTCCCTCTCTCAAACGTCTGTACACTCCGAAACATGTCATGGTTAAATCAGTGACAGCTCTGTGATAAACTAATTCAACACATTTAAGCAGATTACAAATGATGACACATTAAAAGATGGAGGGTTCTTGCGGGAGAAAAGGTATGATCAAGAGATGATTGAGAACAAAGCAAATAAAGAAAGTTACAGATCTCCTGCCAAAAACAGAAAGTGAGATTAAGGAAAACATCACTGATTTACCAAACTCTGACAAGTGGTATGTTTGATATAATGGGACATTGTGGATGGATGGGACACTGTCTGAACAAAGTACTTAAAGAATAGATGGTTTAATTTGGCATCTTGCAGATAATTATTCACTTCTGTGGAATTTATGAATAACCTACTAAGGGTGATTTTTAAGTTATGTATTCCCAGGACCGTAACTTCTTAATGTGCCATGCAATGAATTCTAGTCTCTGTTGATTGTTGTTTTTATAGCAGCATATAACCAGCAGCGAATTTACTAGCCCTGACCTGTGGCCTTTGTCAAGCAAGAATCTTGTGTTGCTCTGGAGGTTATGGGTATGTGCCAACATGTGACAGATGTGTGCAGTCTCACCTGAGCTTGTGACCTCAAAAACGGAGCACTGACATTGCAGCTCCGCTGTAGGATCAATCTGTCTGCTGTCTGACACTCGACTGCCAGGTCAGAAGGAGTCTAGAATACAGGAGACACATCCGTATCATCTTGGTGGTATATTTCACTTGACCCTTCGAACTTCCAGTTAAGCATTCCTTCCAAAAAAAATTTTTTTTTTTGAGCCAGTGGTTAATTCAGTTGTAAGGTTAGACTGGCGACACCTGCGCGTACACACGCAATAAAATCTTAGCTGTGTCCAGCTAACAGATCTAGAAAATTTAAAGATTATAAGAAAAACAGTGAACAATGTCATGGATCTTATTTGTATTGACTACAGTTAATTCTGGCCAGTGGTCCAGAACAGCAAAGCTTCTGGGACTAACTCTGCAACTCTGAGGCAAACCTTCACCATCAGGCTGGAGAACTGCAGGTTCGCAGAGTGAGAGATACGAAGCTGTGTGTTGTAAGCGTTTTCTCCATCATTCTCCAGCCGAACCTCCACCAACATTCGTCTTCTGCTGGCCTCCACAATACGTTCCCCATTCGTCCTTGCCCCCTGCTGGACACACAATGGCCATGCAGCATGCTCTCGCCAGGCACAGAACTGCCTGGAGCCAAGAGTAAAGAGACAAACAAGGCAACAGGACAGGTAAGAGCTCAATGCACAATGGAATTTCTTGTTTGTTTGAGAACATAGGACGTAGGATATGTAAGACACCAGTGTAGATTTAGTGTGATTACTGCATGCGTCTAAGAGAGAACACACCTATGGTCCAGCAGATCAGTGTTACTTTGAAGTACCAAGTTAGGCACACATTTATCATCTTCATCACATCCATTCCAGAAGGGCAGCTAATGGAAAATTGAGATGGAAAATGAAATGGATCAGAGAAAGTAATTGTGAAAGAGACAGAGGAACATATACAAAGGAAAAGCCATTAATTTTGTATTTCCTGCATACACTTCCAGCAATGAAGAGGGTTTGTGTAGGTAATTTATCTATGAATAAGGACATGGTTACCTCTGAACGCAGTGTAGTGGGCCAGCCGTCGTCCAGCACAGGGCCATTGTCAGTATCCTGCAACCTCGCCTCCACAGTGAAGACTATCGGCCGAGTGTAGTCTACAGTCTCCTAAAGACAGAGCAGGCAAACTTTGACAGCACCTTCATAGATGGATGTAGTCAAGGGAAACCATAAAACTATTTGTTTCTATTTTTTATTATTTTTTTACACTACTTCAAAACACCAGCGGCCCTTTACACTGTGTGAACATTTCATGACAAAAATGATTAGCATGAATGAATAGAGTATGAATATAAATTTGGAAAAACAAACCTTTGAAGTCGTCCTTAACATGTTAACAAAAGTTAACATTGTGAATTTATTTATTGCAAATGTTCCTTACATTTATCTATCTAAATAATGTTACTTCTGAATGATGTAATACAATAATTTAAAATTATAAATTATAATAACTTACGATTCAATTTTTTGTACTAATATTTATAAATAAAGACATTAAGATGGAAGTGCTAATGAGAGATACAGCATCACAGACTCACATGCACATGGAAGTAGACATGCTCACAGTGCTGGGTTTCTGGTAACACAGAAATGTTTGAAGAAGGCTGTCCCTCAGCAGCATCCAGCACTGCTCTGGGGATGTAGCGCCTCTCATCAAACCCCCAGCTAAGCTTCAGAGCTAGAGAGATAGCGAGAGAGAGAGAGAGAGAGAGAGAGAGAGAGAGAGAGAGAGAGAGAGAGAGAGTGACATAATAAAAACTGATATTATACGTGTACAAATATACCTGCACTGTATCTCCCCAATATATAAAGTGAAATCTGCAATTCCTAAATGCTACTATAGACAGAGTTCTGTGTTACTGTAACAGAAAATGTGTTGCTGTTATTCAGGTTACTAAAACACTGTCCTCTAATAAACTAAAAAAAGCCATGACCTTCTGATATCCTTCAACTCGTTCTCAAGAATGAAAGAAAGAATATGATAAATAATTTTTCCACCAATCCATTGTAAGAAAATGTCAGCCAAGTGTTAAGAGTGATAAGAAAGAGTGCAGAAAGTGAAAGAAAGAGGAGGAAAAGACAGATGGATAGAGAGACAGACTGAGTCTAGTTGATAAGATCCAGATGAGGAGTGAGAGGGAGGGATATGGGCCTGACACGGTTTTACAGTGGTTTCCATGGCTGTGTTTCTCGGTCACGTTCAAAAGGTTCGCTCTCTGGCCCAAGGCATTGCATGTTAGGAAAAAAGCTTTCCATTATAAAGAACTGACCCTTCAGACATACATCTGATGGAGATTAAACACAAGTTTGGCACAGTGGAAAACCCTGCACGCTCTCAGCCTATACAGAAACACACTCATACACACCTGTTTACACACACTAACAGGTAATCATTTCTGCTTTAACTCTTCCAAGGGAGGCACTGATGATCTAAACTACATTACACCACCCAGATGTTACATAAAGCTGAAAAACAGTGGTTACCTACCCACTCCTTGTGTCTTTGCCACTGGTGTTTGAGCTGTGACAGCGACACACACATTGGCTGCCATGCAGGTCACTTCTTTTCCTCCTTTCACACAATCTTTGTTAAACACATTTATCTTTGATGGCTGAAAATCAACGCTGATGTTCACACGGACCACGCTGCGGGACCTGCGCATAAAAACCAAAAGCAAATAGTGAAGAAATACACACACACTTATTAACCTTAACAGTGGGCATAGTGGTCTTCCATAATTTGGGAACTTACCAAAGCAAGACAGCAGCACCAAGTGCACCTACAGATAAGTCTATCAGATCATCTCCATTTATGTCCATCACACCATGGACACTACGCCCGAAATACTGAAGGCCTGCGGAGATGTCTACAGCTGCTATTCTCTGAGAAAGAGAGAGACAGATAGAAGGAGGGAGAGAGAGAATAGAGCAAGACTCAGAAGGATCACTTTATAATTAATTTACAATTTGTGGCTCTATGCCATAATTTCATGGTCAACTCATCATGGTTTTAAGCTCTACCTGCTTATGCTTTGGGTGAATACCACTTTGCTGGCTGTAGAAGAGATAGATTGCCCCCCTGTGGTCATCCTCTAGAGGTGCACCCACCACCAGCTCTCTGTAACCATCACCGTTTAAGTCAGGCAGAGACGACATAGCTGATCCGAAACGAGAGTTTTGTGCCTCATCTGATGCCTCGAGAAGGCCCTCCAGGACAAACTGTCCCTTAAAGCGAGAAAGAGACAACAAGTAAAATGAAGGCAATTAGAGGGAGCTATGTGTAGGGTTGCCAGATTTCTGGTCAGCATTAAAACCACAATACTATAATTTAAAAAAGCATTTATGACCAACATGACATCAATAATACACTGTTCATCCTTGTGCACTGAAATACTGAGCAAGAAAAAGACAGCAATTATCTGCCAGTTCTACTGCATGCTGTAAAAGAGAATGGGGTCATTCCCCTCTTTTGAGGACACTTCAGACTTTGTTAACTTCGTACACTTTATTCTGTTAGTTTTTCAGTTATCACTGTTGCTTTTTATTCTTAACTTATTTACTTTGTGCTTTATGCTGTGAAGTTGGGATTGCAAATGTACACCTTCACATACACTGCAGGTGGATGTGGCAATAAAGTGTTTGTGAGTTCAGACAATGTCTTCAACATGTGGTGGTAGTGTGAGGGAAGACTGACTGACTTTGAGAACCTCCCCAACCCTCCCCCCTCCCTCCCACTATAGCTGTAGCAGGACTGACGTAGGCCTGAGGAACAGGGAGGAGGTGGGGTGGTGGTGGGGATTGCAAACCCATCGTCACCGGAACGGAAGGTGACGATGTGAATTTATAGGCCATTAGATTGGAAGAAGGTGGGGTTTCAGGCATGTTCCTCCCCTAAACTTCAGTTATAACATAACTACATTATGTCAATCAGTCTTGTCACAAAGCAACTAGGTGTGGGGAGATGTTGGGCCTAGTCAGCTACATGATTAAGGAATGCAATTTATAATTTATATATTTTTTAAAACCTGCCAAAATCAAGCCCATAATCTGTCATAATCTGTCACCTGCCAGTGTAGGAATAAATGTTTATTCCTGCAAAGTCCAGTCATGGATGGAAAGCCGTCCAACCTGGTAACACGTATCCAAATACATCTACGCAGTGTTTGGAACATTCAAGAGGAGTCTGATCTTCTCAGCCCTTTGAGCACTGGAAATGCTGTGGGATGCCTACCTCTTGGTTCAGTCTGTAGATGTAAACCCTGCCTCTCTCCCATCCTTTGCTGAAGTACATGGGAGCTGCCACCAACAGCAGATCAGTTAGTCCGTTGTTATCCTGGTCTAGTGGAGCTACCTCACTGCCGTAATAGGAGCCAATCTACAACAGCATACAAAGGCACAGACAATGTTAAAGACCAAGATGAAGGTGTTTGAAGATACCATTATTAAATCTTATCTCTCAAACTGATGAAACTAAACACATGGCCTTGTCATGTGTATCTCATTCTTTCATGCAAGTTAGTTCTCCATGCAACATGTTGTTTACAGTCTGTTAAAGTTTTTTCTCTATTTCTCTACAATATATCTCTCTATCTATATGTCACATGCACCCACACTCAGTGTAGTTCAGGGGGGAGTACTAAGAGCCCTATGTCTAGTGCTTGTGGCTTGCATAGACCATTTACTGCATGTCCACACTTCTGTACTTTACGCATGGATTCCCACACAAACAGGTGAAAGGCACATGGTGTACAGAGATAACTGCCATCTGGACCAGGGGCTTATGTCTAGACTGTCACACAGTCTCTCCCTCCAAACACATGTGATCTATTAATAACCTGACTGGGCCCACCAATCAACAGCCCTACTCTTAATCTTTAATACCATGACACACCACTAACTTAAGATAAAGTTACCTGCAGTGATGAAGATCTTAGTTAAGATTAAAAGCGAGAGCATGTAACATGTAACAAAACTGATCAGCTTCAACCTGTCCAAGATGCATACTATTTTACGAACTAACTAGGCAATAACGTGAAGCAGCAATGGACGATGCTGAAATCTGGAAAGAAAGAATCAAAGCCTGCATTGCCACTACTTCAAATCTGTTATGAAAGGTTAGATGTCTGTGGCAAGCTGAATAACTTTTGACCAATGAATTTCTAAAACACACTGTTTGTTGTTTTAACTGCTGCATTAGCCTACTTGCCATTAGCGACTTCAGCACTCTACATTAGTACTGCTTGTTAAGTGTTTTCCCCTCAGATAAGCCAAAACACCTATCCAGTACAGATGAACAATTGCTGTATAATGCATCACAACCTTTTTACGTTCTTTTGTTAAAAGCCCTGTGCCAGTTAATGTAATTACTACATGTCTTGGTTAACTGGGTCAAGTGTACTGGGAGCTGGTACAGCACACACATATGGACTGACCTGGGGGTATTGACAACTTGTCTGAAGAAAAATGATGAATCATTATATCAAGAGTTTCATTCCAAAAAGCTGTATATCCATTTGTAATAAAAATAGACTTAAAAAGATTAACAGCTCATTTATAATGCATTTTGGCAAAAAAAACATTTTTTTCTCTAATAAAGGTGGCATTAATCATAGTATGGTATAGATTATTTCTCGTATGTGCAAAGCCCACTCCCAACATCATACATCATGAAAAAAGAACATGAAAGTGTCTTTTAATGTGTTTTGGAATGACACCCTTCATATATAAATGTCTATAGAGTGGCAAAGTGACAGATACTGAAAAAAGACTAAATGAAAGAGTGAGAGAGAAAGAACAGAAAAAAACATTGATATTTACCTGTTGTCCTGTTAGGGAGTGCAGTATAGTGAGGTTGCCCGAGTTGGTAAGGGTGAATATGATGACTTTGCCTGTGTGGTTAAAACGAGGAGCTCCAGCCACATACAGCTGCCCATAATACGCTGACACTACTGATGATACGATATAACCTAGAGTAGCACAAACACACACACATAGACACAAACCACTAATAATACTGCTCTGGCATGTTGAATCTCTCACGCCAGGAACATGTTTCCTTGGCTTTCTTAATCTATTTTGTGGCAGACATAAAATAAATGGAAGGGCAGTTTAGAGCAGAGGGCAGATTTACAGAAGCTTGTTTGAAGTGTGCCCATGGTCATGCCTACATGGTGCATTAACTACAGAGAACACCAAGGCATGTAGACAAAAAACACACAGATGGGTCACGGCAGACCACATTCCTGGGGTTAGCTGATGGCACCCTGCCAATATTCCAAACAAGCTTCCTCTCATTGTGGTCTATCACTATCATTCTGGTCAAAAAGTCCAACCACTGCCTCTACAGCTATCACTATTCTTCTAACTTCTAAGATATTCATTCTCATATTGTTCTATATAATTATTAACTAACATTTTGATGCAATCCCGGTGGAAGCTTAATTTGTTGCACATATTAATGAAATCCTAGCAGAGGATAATTGTGCATTCATTTTATATGATCATATTCATATAAGAGACAAAAATCTCTTTATCCTTGAAAATTAAACAGGCTGCTTTTGTTACATTTGCTCCGTGACAAGAAAAGTTCAGCATTTAATAATTTCCACCCTATATTCATTCCATAACTCTGTTACAGACTGTCTGTAGTAACAATGCTATCAAAACCACAATGAATTCAAAACAGGCTAGTCATGCAGCTTTGTTCACATGTATAAACTGGGGAGTGAACTGTATGTTTTAAAACTTTTCCAATAAACATACACATTTATTTAAAATTTGCAAGAAAAATGTGTTTTTTCCATAATATATCACCTTTAAAGCAAAGATTCAGTTGTCTCAATATACTCTTCCATACTAAAATATGGAGAAAAAAGTTTTCTGTCCCTCACCCAGGTAAGCTCCATGGTTCTTCAGTTCCTCAGGAAACTCTCTGAGGTATGAGGACTTGGGAGGGATCACTTTGCCATTCTGTGTCTCTTTGAGGACAGCGCCATTCCAGTCATAAGCCCCTACAGCACCTACCAAAACACCATCCTATGGACAGATAACCATAGGTTATTGTAACAGGATCACTGGTCCAATAAGAATGACTGTTGCATGCATACAGTACTGTGCAAATGTCAGAAAGCACCTTTCATTTATTTAATTTTCAGTAAAAAGATTCAGTCAAGATTTCGGAATGTGTCTTGGATCATGAGAAGTAGAAAATGCAGCCAACATCTACAACTAAATTTATGAGGTGTGGAAAAATATCCCTGAAGACTTCTTTAAAAAACTAAAAGCAAATTTGGCAAATAGAATCGATACTTAAGTAAAGGCAAAGGGTGGACACATTAGGCCTGGGCGATAGGGCAATGTAATTGGATATCCTCTGTCATTGACAAGTAACCTGATGGCGATGTGTAAAAGAACTGTCATTTTTTTGTTTGAGAGAGAGAGAAAGAAAGAGAGATTGAGAGAGAGAGAGAGAGCGAGAGAGAGAGACAGAGAGGTTGATACCAAGCTGTCTGTCAGTTCTCTCTTCTGTGCACTCTACTGCTACCTTTACCTATGGCTCCTCCCCTTCTAATAATTTTAGTATGCATTAAGTTTAGCTTGAGCGCACTGAACTGACAATAAATGCCACTGTGCTTTGTAAGTGCTTGCTTCAGTGTGACTCGCTGCAGTAAAACAACCAGGCTAAAGTGACTGAGTGTTACCCTAGAGTAGCTAGCTCTAAACCTGGAGAGAAAGTTCCTCTAATTCCCGTCTACGGAAAAGTGTATGGATGTGGCTTTGGAAACCTCTTGCAGTCTGAAGTAACGAAAGTAGTATTATATTATTTAACGTGTGGTTTTATTAAAGATTTTAAATTAAACAGTTAATGTTCAAAAAGCATATACATCAAAATAGAACAGAAAGTAGGTCAAAGTTGCAGGGGACAATGTGTATTTGTTGGGTGGAGAAGATTTAATCAATAATCTCAATTTTTAACTAGAAAATATTGTGCTAATTATTTTTAGACATCACTCAGGCCTAAACCCCCAAACACTTTTTAGTTATATTTAGTTGTTGAAATTACTGTGTAATTTTCTATTAAATACGTTTTTGGCTTTTTCCTGTTGTTGAAAAATTTTATAACTTGAACTTCAAGGCCATTTTGCCTGGTAATTAAAAAAATGAACGGTGGCCTCTGACTTATGCACAGCACTGTATATCTCTGTTAATATAATAATAATAATTAAGCAATAAAATGTTTTACAACAAGTCTTAAAGACATTTTGCTGGTCAGTCTGTGCATAACCAATAGAGGCGTTACTATACATACATACATACATGTATATTGCTGTTGTCGGAAACAAAACCTTGTATGTCCAAAATGGTAACTTTAAAGGAGAAGGAAAAAAACACCTTCTTTACTTTTAATATAAGTCAATGGGACCAGACTTTTTCCAAGTTATTCCGGGCCACTTCTTTTGGTCTTTTGGTCCATTCATCTACTGCTCTAGAGTACAGAGGCAGTGGCATGCTTTACACCACTCCAGCCGAAGGTTGGCACTGTGCAAGCTGCTCGGCCTTGGAAACGCATTTCATGAAGCTCCCACTCACAGTTCTTTTGCTGAACTCTGCAGTGAGTGATGCAGCAGACTACAGCACAGTATAGTACAGAGTTCAGTACTCTGCAGCCCTGTTCTGTGAGTTTGCATGGTCTCCTGCTTCGTGGTTGAGCTGCTGTTGTTCCTAGATGCTTCCATTTCATAATAATAGCACTTACAGTTAACTAGGGCAGATCTAGCAGGACAGAAATCACACAAATGAACTTTAAAGTTACTGAGCTTCGGTCTTACCCATTCTACGGCTAATGTTTGTGTACAGAGTTTGCAAAGATATGTGTGTGGTTGTCATTGAAATTATTGAACTCAATATATACACAAAACAATAACAATGCTTTTGAAACTTTAGATTTTGGGACACATTTACTTCAAAATCTTACTGCTCACCATTTGACCATGATGGACAGGGAAGCAGTCTCACTGCATTTCATAGTGACAGGAAAACGTGGGAAGGACAGCATTTTAATAATTGTAACAATAATAACTCTAAGCTACAAAAATATTTGTGATATGACACGTACGGACATGAAGTTACTGTTACTATAAATAATTATATAAATTTATATAAATATAAATAAACCATCTTATTCTTAAAAAAGACAACTATGAAAAAAAATCTCTACTACACAAAACAACTTTTATTTGTCTTCTTATTTGTCCTATTTTGGTTAATTGTGCTTTCACCGGGTGCTGCAGGATTGCCACAAAAGAAAAAAATAATTAACTCATAAACAAAATGAACACTGGCACTTCATTTTTGTTTCTGTATAAACATATACTGCATTGTGTCAACTTGCATGATGACAAAACACATCATGCAAGTTGTGTATTGTTACAACTCTAATATAAAGGTAAGACTCATGAGAATCTCAGAGGTGAAACGTACAGCATTATAAGGGACCTAATGTTAGAATTGTCCCATGTGTAATCACAGCAAGTGAGTCTTTTACTGAAACAAACTCTGGCTGTTTTTTTTGTTACGTAAACTATTTGAGTCAAAATATCCACACTCATAAAAGCAAAACAAATACTCACGAAAGCAGACATAGTTTAGAGATCTTCCATAATAAGTCTGTGCTGCTCTAATGACTTTTACAGTCACATACCCAAAGTGTTGCATAATAAAGACTGCTTTGCAGATACTGTGTACAAATGTACACATGGTACAGATAGACAGATGTGAAGGGTGCAAGCATGCATGCACTCAAAGGTACTCTCTCTCTCATGCACGTGAGCGCACACACTCACATATACACACACAAACACACACACACAGGCACAGTGCCTGTATCCCATAAAACTAAAGGCTTTCTGGCTTTGGTTCATAAATCTGTAGAGAAGGCTAAAAGGGGCATTAGAAGGCCATGAGAAACTGCCAAGCAGGGAACGCTCTATCACAATGTGAGGTTATATGGGATACAGACAGTGTGCCAGCTCAACTCACCTTTGTGAATGAATATGTATTTCTGCCAGAAGCTCTGCACCACATTACCCACAGTAGCCCAGCACTTAACCTTAACCCTAACTGTATTACAGAATGATTTGCCATTCTTACAGATAAAATCTACAGAGACTTGGAGAACAGCAGCTCTGTGCATTCCATTGGAGTAAGAAATCGGCTGAATTTTTGACTCCATATTCACCAGTGAATAAAAAGCCTGTTGCACTAACACCACGAGAGCCAGTGCTACAGCCGTCGTTAAACAAAGACAGCAGTGCAAAGGCTCCCAGCTCACGCATCAGCCAAGTATTCTCTCATACAGTGTCGACGTGGACAGTCTGACTGAGTGCCACAGCAGATTTGCACAATAAACTCCTTCAATGAGATCCCTTCAGTGATATGGGTTGTTCTTTATAATTCCATTACTCACATAAGCCCCTTTATTCGTATTTGTTTCTATTTTATTTGTTTCAAAATTGAAAAAAAGTTTATTTGAATTGTTAAAATGGGGTATGGTAACAGCCTGAAATATATCATGATCAAAATGGATTCCAAGAACAATAAAAATAGTTTAGGGAAGGGATTATTTATTGTGTAACTGCCTACCTCTGGGTACTGTTATCATGAAGCAGTGACTGAAAATGAAAAAAGTATGGCAATATGTCAAGTTCTACCTGATTTCCACAAGAGCAACAGAAAGCAGAAAGTATGATATCATCTCTCTTTGTTCTTATCCTCTTATTCATATAAAACAGGTAAAAACATCCACTGTACTTCCAGCACTACACTTATAAATTTGTTTTTATACTGAAGTACATAAATTTGTGTACATTCATACAACTTTGCAGAGATCTTGCAGGCCTTGAGGTCAGTACTTCTTTCAGCTTCCTTTAGAAAAATAGCAGAACACGTATAGCTACAACTGCTGAACCATGTAAGCAGCAAGTGGTCTTCGGTTTTGTGCATTGCCCCTGCATTTGCAGAAGGATGCAGGTAAAATCTTGACTAAAGCAGGGAAATGTACCTTGTGGCTGACCTTGCTGTGTCCAAGCCAATCACTATCCTGAAGCTAATCTTAGTTAGCAAAATGACTAATCTCAAAGCAGAATGGAGTAAAGACAACCACAAAGAACACATATTTTAGCAGCTCTAGTGTGAACAAGACATACTATAGTATAAAACAGAAAAATGAAATATGAGAAAGAAAACAACCTTATTACTGAGAGAGAACAAGACTGGATCTGCAAATGTGATCTGTCCCAAGGACTGGTGCGTTCAGCACTTGGAGAAGAAAAACAGTGTAGAGCTGTAATAATTCCTGTCTATCTCATTGAGCCAAGCCAATAAAGACAGAATTTGAGCTTTTATTTTCATCTGATGATGTTTTATTTGTACCAAGTTTGATGGACACTGCCCTCTTTCCTAATAAAAGAAATGAAGCTCTTTTTAACGATTCAGTCGCAATCAAATAAAGCTAAACCCTTCTTTTGCAAACACAGTCATATGTATAACCACGCGCAGAAAAGATGAGGGCACATGTGTGAGTGTGTTTTTGTGCAAGTGTCCCTCCTTGAAGCTGCCTGGCTTCAACAAAACCATATGTGCTCTTTGGAGTGCTTTTCCTCTAAAAGTCAAGAAGGAGAAAAAATCTTTCCACGACGTTATCTTCCCTCTCAAATTGCCACTGTTCAGAGCAGCACCAGGAATCCAACAATGTGAGGTATGGACCTATGTTATTTTTCCCAGGAAAAGCTGTGCTTTGCCTGCTACTAAAGCTCCCATTCCCAGTATCTCTCACCTGCACTTGATTACTCTGATTAAGCTTCATACCAGACCAAAAAGTACTGAAAAGTCTCTTGTGTTAAGAAAGGATACTCTGGCATCTTTCTAGCTCTCAGTAGCATGAGCCATTATAGATAGCCTTGACAAAAATACATTTCCTCAATATCTTGGAGTCTCACTAGACTTCTCATCTACACACTCGTCAGGTCAACCAAAGCCACACTGCAAATTAATACATCTTAAGTGGATTAAAGATTGCTCCTTTAACAGAGTTGACAGTGATTCTAAGCACAACCTACCTCCACAATGTGTGAGGAGAAACCTGCCTGAGACATCTGTAGTCCAAAGGCAGTCCCACTTTGGTCGGTACCTACAAAGATAGGACAAATTATTATGATACTGGCTTATTGTCAGATAATAATTCAATGGGTTTGGCTTAAGGTAGGATCTGATATAATCTTTTAACTGCTAATATTTATAGAAGGAAGCAGGGAAAACATGGTAAAGCAAATGTAAGGTATATTAGCATATTCTGCATTGACACAGCAAATAAAAAACACAAAAAGGTTAAACAGGCCAGTTGGCAATGTGATTTACTGAAAGGCATGAGTGTACCTTCTAAGCTGAAGATCTTCTCTCCCAGGGCGTCAACAATGTCTTTCAGAGCAGATTCGTCAGTCACATTGAAAAAATGCTCCTCAGGGTCAGTGGCAATGGATTTGATCTCTCTTAGGAAAGCTTCAGGATTGATCCCACGCCTGTTGTAGTAGCCAAGCACCTGAGGACATAATCATAGAACACGATCCTCATCCACAGCTTCAGGACATACCATCCTAGCCCACGTATATCAAATCTCTCAGAGTAAGAATGCTGCCCTAAAATTACTCCTCCAAAGTGCATTTAACCATCCAGAAGTAAATTTACTTCGAAGCTATGAAGCTGAAGGAAAACTGAATGCTGTAGGTATTTTCTCCCCTTACATCATATACACTTCCAATTGCAAGGACTAGCAGCAGCAAGCTAAGAAACCTGGGGAGGGGGTTATCTCTTTTAATCAGCTACGGCCAAACTCAAGTCCATTTGACAGACCTCACTTTTGGGTTAAGTTTATGTAATTCAGCTTTACTGAACTGCTTTGTGAAATACCTCCAGTTACCTTGTATATACTATCATTAATTGTAAAGAAAAAAAACTGGCACAGGATTGAATATATGAGTTTTAGCTGGGGCTAAAACTTCTTCAGAATCACAAGAACAGAACAGTATAGCAGAGAATAAATGAGAACTGGGTGGTAACTGAAATATAAAGCAAACTCACAGCGATTCCATATAGGGTGATGTTGTCCCGCTCGCTTTTCTCCACGGCTTCCTGTAGGTCCGGGCTGTCATGTGATTCCCCATCAGTGATCACAATCATCACTTTCCTGGCATCTGGACGCCCTCCGCGCTTAAATGCCTGGGAGCTGTGTTTGCCAACATAAAATGATCTACTGTCTAAGACAATGTAACTTAAAATATCCAGAGGCTGACAAGACTATACATTTTCTCATTGAGAACCTGAACAATGAAGCAACAAATAACAACACCCACTGAGTGAACTGATGGAAATTTAAATGAAAAAAAAAAAGCTATTTCCCTTAAACACTACTCTGTGCTTTCTGGTGTACCGTGCAACGTTGATTCCAAGAGCTGTGCGTGTCTCCTCTCCTCCACGTTGGATAATACTGTAAGCTGCTGTCACTACTTCATTTACAGTGTGGAAGTCATCCAAGTAGAATTCATGAACCACTCTCTCTCCATACTGCACCACTCCAACCTACAGAGAGAGAGAAAACAGAGGCCAATAATGCAGTAAAGGGGAATTCCACAGAGTTTTCAAAGAGTCTGCGTAATTCAATTGTGAAAACGTAAAGTCATTCAGAGCGGTTTGATGTAAAATGTGAAATGAAATGACGCGTAGGTTCACTGATTGTTTTGGATAGTAAAATAGCTAAACTTGTATTGTCATCATCATGAGCCCTGGTTCCTATCACCACCACTGTAAGGAAATCAGTCTGTAAGTTTGTCTACAATGAAATATTTCACCACAAACCACTCTGAATGACTCTAAACAAACCATTTACACCAATTCATGTACATCACGTACTCATGTACACCAATTAATTTAAATGGGTGTTATACAATACGATTCTATGCAAAGGTTTAGGCATCCTTTCCTGTGCCAAATTACATAGTTTGTTGGTTTTTAAAGTGAAAAGACATCAATGCAATCTTTGCAGCAGTTTTTAAAAATACAGTCTCCTTCGAAGGTACTGGAACAACAAGGCCAATTCTTTTGTTTTTGCAATACACTGGAGAAATTTAGGTTTGAGATCAAAAGATGACTACAGATCACATAGATTAGATAGACTTTAGCTATTACTTCTTGATACTTACATATCAATGTTTTTAATAACATAAAACATGGCACCTTTTGTTTGAACCTATCCATTTTTTAAAATGACCAAAAGTACTGGAACATGAGACTGACAGGCATTCTTGTTGCCCTGGTGCATCCTGCTAGATTGACTGTTTAAACTATTAATTGCTCTGAATGTCTACTCTTGGTCTGAGCCCTGGGTTTCATCTTTGAAGACTGCATTTGCTGTAAAAAAGGATGAAGACCAGAGAAAAAAGGAAGCCATTCTGAAGCTGAGAAAAGAGAGAAAATCAGAAAATCAGAGCCATTGCACAAGCATTGGGCATAGCCAATACAACATTTGGAAAATCCTGAAAAAGAAAGACAATACTGGTGTACTAGCAATCAGACACTGAACAGGTCAGCCAAGGAAAAAAACAGCAGTTCATGACAGCTCTCATTGTGAGAAAAAAACAAAAAAAACAAACAAAAAACAACTGTCAGTGACATCACCAACAACCTTGACAGGGCAGTGGTGAAAGCATCACAATTCACTGTTCGAAAAAGACTTTTTCTTTTGAGCAGGAATATAGAGGCCACACCACAAGATGCAAACCACTCATTAGCAGTAAGAATCTGAAGTCCAGATTGGAATTCACAAAGAAATACAGAGGTGAGCCACAAAAGTTCTGGAACAGAGTGGACTGATGAGACCAAGATTAACCTCTAACAAAGTGAAGAAAAGGCCAAAGTGTGAAGAAAGAAAGAACAGTGCAAGGAATGTCATGGCTTGGGCTTGCATGGCTGCTTCTGGAACAGACTCGCTAATCTTTATTGATGATGGAACTCATGCTGGTAGCAACAAAACAAATTTAGAAGTCTACAGAGACATTCTGTTTGCCATTTTACAGACAAACACATTAAATCTAATCAGGAGGAAACTCATGCAGCAAAAACCCCCCAGCATCACCCAAAAAACAAACAACAACTAAAAGAAGCTACAATAAAATGCTGGAAAAGAATCACAAAAGAAGAATGCAACAGTTAAGTGATATCAGTGGGTCGTTGGCTTGATGCAGTTATTGCAAGCAATAAATATGCAACCAAATACTGTGTTTTATTTACTCTAATTTAGACTATTTGTTTCTGTACTCTTGCTCACTTAAAAAATAAGTGGATTACCACTAGAGGTGCCATGTCCTAAGTTGTTTAACACATCTAGATGTAAATATGTAAATAAATAAGATGTAAATAAAAGTTGAAAATCTGATCTGATCCCACCTCTACATTAGACCTTAACTGAACTGTTTGAACTGGTTAGTCCACTCACAATTTCTGTCCGAAATGTCATTAAGAAATGGCAACTGGAGAACTCTGGAAGTCAAGGCAAGAACTGGAAGACCAACAAAACTCTCAGATACAACTGTTTGTATGCTGTCCAGAAAAGCAAAGCAAAACCCCCACAGGACCTGCGAGAAGGTTTAGCTGACACAGGAGTGGTGGTGCACTGTGCTACTCTTCAGTGCTGCTTGCACAAATATGATCTGCATAGAAAAGTCATCAAACGGAAATCTCACCTGCGCCCTTTTGTGAAGTAATGAAATAAAAATGGAACTTTTTGTCCACAATCACCAAAGGTATATTAATAAAAAAGACCAGCATTTGATGAAAAAAACTTCCAACTTTTAAGTACGGGTGTGAATCTACCATGCTTCAGGGCTGTGTGGCAGCTATTGGCACAGAAATCATTGCATGGGTAATAGAATGACTCCTAGCTGGCTAGACAGAAATGTTTGCACACTGTGATATCTACCAAATGGAAGGTGTTAATAAGTACTGACTTTGTGGGGTGTCTAAATATTTGCACATGCCACAATTACTATTTTATGCTCATCAAGTACAGAGTAACTGCATTAACAATTGAAATGATTTGCTGTAAAGGATGTGTTTACATTTTTCACTTCAAAAATCAACAAAATATGTAACTGGTTGGGTTCTCCAAACTTTTGCATACAACTGTAGAGCACCACAGGGCAAAAATAATGGTAAAGTATGGGATAAAGCAAGTTAATGTTGTACAAGACACTTCATACCACTTTTTAATAGCTCTAAATCATCATGTGGAGCAAAATGAAAGTTTTGTAAAATGTCAAGGTTTTAAGAGCACCTTTCTAAGGTTCCAGAGAAGTGCAGAAGGGAAGACCAACAAAAAAGCAAAGGGGTCAACTGTTTTCTAAGAACAGAGGTTAAACTGTGGAACATGAACTATTCCAAATTTTATGATTTACTCAAATACAGACAGGGAAAGATTTAGTGATTCTGGGGCTTTAGGCATAAGACAGGAAGGGGGCCCCCTGGATGCACAAAAAAATTCAGAGCTCCTGAGGGGTGCAACCATGCAGAACTGTGCAAAAATATGTTGACCAGTGATACTGTCCTATATTGAAATAGCCAATACATTTAATATAGATTGTTGTAAGAATGTTATAATACCACTTCAAGGGCACATATTTTTTCTGAAGTCTACTTATAACATTTGGTTTTATGTAGTCAACATTTTTTTTTATGACATCAAAGGAATTAATTCAAAACAGCCTGTTTTTGCAGTTTAGATTCCATATATGGACTGTATGGACTGGGGAGTGAATGGTATGTTTTAAACCTTTAACAATGCTTACAAACTCCATTAATCTCTTTTATTTCAAAAAAGCAAGGGAAATTCCATGATAGGGCCCTTAAATAATTTCTAAACTTTTTTTTTATGTAAGCATTTTATTGAGTGAAATAATCTCACAATACCAACAGATAATTTTGCTTGCTTTAAAAATATGCTTGAAACAAGCATAATGATCTGTCAATATACTGAGATAATTTCACTTAATAAACTTCTAAAACTAATAAATAGTACAAATATTAAATAATAATAACAATCACAACAATCACAAATAACAATTACGTTTAAACTGTAGATATTTTAACAAAAGTTATTTAACATCAATTCATACACTATATCTAATATGCATTTTCATGGGGCCCTTGAATCATGGGGCCCTAAGCAGCTGCTCTGCTGCCCCTGTGCTCAGATAGATGCAAAATTACACATCCAGCTCAAAGATTTGCGCAGCATACAGAGTATAAAATTCATATTTACCTGAATCTGTCCTGGCCCAATGGAAAACTTCTGAAGGATGTTGATTAGGAAGTATTGCACCTCAAACCAGGGGTATATAGAATTTGATCCATCCAGCACTATTACTATGTCCATATAGGTCTCACATCCTGACAGAAAAAAATAAATGCAATAGTACAGCACCTTTCCGTACTGAAAACAGTGCCATCAACAGCCAAGCAACGTGTTGAACATGAAAAGAGAAATAAGTTGAATTTTACTCTGAAAGGCTGGGGCGATGCTGCGTGTGAAGTTAAAACTGCTGTCAACTCTGGAGCAGATTCCTGTGCTGTATAACGAACTGCCACATTCATATGACCACAACGGACCACAAGCCTGGAACATAAAACAGTTCATAACACACATACTTTAACCTTTGTATCTTATTAAACTGAAGTTTTAATTGGACATAGATCGAAATTTCTTTGTATCAAAATAGGGCTATTATGAGAACCACACCTACCACAAAACTGTTATCCTTTGGGTTAGAGGCAAGGGACATCCCAAGACTCATTTTGTCTTTGCGTTCTAAAACATTCTTTAAAGATATCTCTCCTTGGAGGAAAGATCCAGAAAAGAGCAAAACAAATAAAGAGATACATTTAAGAAAAAGCTGTTATTCCAAAATGACTCAGTAAATGCTGTCTTGATGCAAAAAAATGAATCTTCCATTAAGAATCCAAAGAGACACCTAAGTTCAGTCGTGAACAGTTTGTATCAGTTCTGCTTGCCAGTGGACACCTGTAGACATCACCAGTCTGGTTTTCACCACTCTTCTCAAATGGAGCTCCCACCAATAGCCTACAGTGAAACAAATCAAAACACTAAAGACATGACTGAACCACTGTTTGTCCAAATCAATGACTGATTACAGTTTTTATTACTGTACACTCTCAGAAATAAAGGTACGAAACTGTCACCGAAGCAGTTCCCCTCTTGTCACTGGGGTGGTATCCTCAAGGGTACATCTCAATACCTTTAGTCAGGGAACATAATTGTACCATAATCCATTGAAAATATATTTTCTAAGTTGTATTGACTCCACACACCCCGTCTATGAAGAGAATATGTACTTTTCACCTGGGAAAAATTTATTTAAGGTACGCAATCAGACCTTAAAAACACTGTTTTATGTAAAAAGAGGTCATTTTAGGGCCAATCAAAGCCATTCTCTCCCAGAGAGATAAATGTACAAAATGAGCACAGCAGCATGGACTGAAGCATAAAATACCAGGGTAGAGTACCACTGAAAAGAGCCACTGCTTAATGCATTACTATTACTCATGTTCATACCAGCAACAACAAACCACAAGCCTTTTTGCTTTGGCCTGTGTGATGAATGTATGTGGTTGTTTACATTCCTCTGGCAAGCTCCAGTGTCACTGCTCTGTGATATCCATGTGTTTTTTATAGGAAAAAAACTTGCCAGTTCATTCTAGCATGCTGTTAGCATATTTTAGACTAAATATAATAATCCTACTAAGCATACCTCCTCATTTCAGTTTCCCAAACAGCAGAATTTTTGTTATGTTTTTTGGTAGGTCAGAGCCATCAGCCACTGACCAAGCAATTAAAACTTGAAATCAATCCAGACATTTAACATACTTAACATTTCCTTTTGCTATTTTGACCGTGATAATCACAAAATCATTATATATAAAAACTCACATTTCAAGTAGTGATTTATAAAAGTGATCATGATGCATACAGTCGTCAGTCTGAGTGTGCTACAGGCACTAGGATGCCCAATTCATGAACATGTTTTTATAAATCTGAAAAACACATTTAGAAACAAATTCAAGTACATTTTATAAATGAGGCTCCAGGTCACACAAAGTTTCTCCTAAAATCAAAAGTATTAGGGAATTTGACTGCCCTTTGCTATAGTAACAGTTTCGACTAGCTGTTGGAACATTGCTGTGAGGATTTGATTGCACTGAGCCACAAGAACATTAGTGAGGTCAGGTACTGATGTTGAATGATTAGTTCTAAATCATAAATGCCACTCCAAGTCATGCCAAAGGTATAGGATGATGCTCCATCACTTCAGAGAATGAAGTTCAAATGCTCCACGGCCTAATGCTAGCTAAACGCTTGACACTGGACATGGTGACCTTAGGCTCCAGAGCATCCCATTCCATTGGCATGTGTTCATGTGTCCTGCAGCCATCGCAGATTGACGACAGTTCTGCTTTCCTATGCCACCAGCACACCGTGTTAATGCATTTTCAGGACAAAAGGTACTGCAAATAAAAGAGCCTCATTAGACAATTTTGTGGCCCTAGACTATGAAAAATTTGAGACTAGATTTTTAGAGATTTTATATATGCTACATAAAAATAATGACAGCAAAACAGGTTTGCCAACATGGGTGAGGTGGATGGAGTAAGATACTTAATTTTGCATGCACAAGAGTATTATGCTCATTGTCCTTAGCATAGAACTGTGGTGCACACTGGCCATTTATTGCCATGAAATACCTTTGCACAGCATGAGAGCTCAAGAAGAGACCCAAAAGCATGAGAGTTGGCACCCCTCATTATGAAAAAAATATACTGCTAATACTAATACTAAATAACTTGATATTAGTTACCCCTCACTCTTGCAAGACATCTCCTTTCAGCGATAATTTGTTTTAGCAACTTGTTTGGTTGTTATTGGTATAAATTAACACACATTTGCAGCCTAACAATCGTTTTTGTTGAAATAATAATCTAAAGCTGATGAAGTTAACCTATAGGATACTTTTATTGTAGTTTCCTTTACTTTTATTGTAGTCTGTTCTTAATCAATTATTAATATTATTAAATTTTTTAAATGAACTGTAATGACAACATTAAAATCATTTAAGCTGTGGTTCATCTTTCACAAGAGATGGCATTCTGTGCTTTGAAGGCTGCAGCATGCGGCTCCATCTGTTTAACTAGCATGAGCACAGTAAAAAATGAATGTTCTGAAGAAAGAAAATATATTTACAGTGATATGAACTCTTTTAAAGAATACAAAGATTATGAGATAAATATGAATATATATGATACATATTTTCTGACATTTAAATCATCCAGATTGATTGGACATGGTGACAGAGGAAATCTAACAGCATTCATAATACTACTGTTAAACAGTTCAAGCCTAGTGTGTACACAGTTAATGCCTGTGTCAGCATAGGGTGCACCTTCAAGTAGCTCACTTTTGGACATATGTTGATGACACAGAACACAGTTTTTCAAATCAGTACTATGCTTGTATTTTTGTGTGACCTTTTATTACTGCTACCAAAAAATTGGTTTAATCCTTCCAAAAAAAAAAAACAAACTTCTGTTTCTGTCAAAAGTGCAGATTCTAAACTTTCAACTGACACACATTTGTGTTTTTTAAGTAGAAGGTGAGGTATTTTTATAATTTGAACTTAATGAAAAGTTATTTTTGTATAAATCTAATTCATATAACTAAGTAGAACGTAAATCAAATGTATTCGAAAAATAGAATAGAATAGGAATCAGCAGCAATAGGACAACAGCTCAGAGGCACCCACTGACATTCACACCCAGCTCCAGTCTCCCCTCTTGCACATTCTCTACCACTTTACCCTCCTGCCCTCCTCTCCCCTCCCCTGCTTTTCTAGAATAGAATAGAATAGAGAAAAAACAACAGTAACTCTTGAAAGATTAATGTTGATCCACAGTTGTTTCAGGATTGATGCTGAACAAGGGCTGGGACATTTCTGTTCTTCCTTAGATGCAGTGTATAATCAATTAAACTAACTCACTCTGAAGTTATAATTAATTAAAGCAGTATAAAATGGGTAGCAACCCTGCACTTTTCTCCTTCACATCTGCTACATCTCCACATGGTATTTCCCGTTTTCTTCCTAAGAATTTACTTTTCCAGTGCCTTGGCCCAAAGAGTGGAAATTTTGTCCATCCAGAAAGTTATTTCCACTAAGTGAAGGATTGTTCCTCATTCTTACTAAAAAATCCTTCTAAACTAAATAAAAACATATCGTACTGTGATTGAAGTCACTCAAATAGTAGACTAGAATATGTCACGTCTGAGAGTGCTTGAGGTCAGTAACAGGTGCTAACCTGAGGACTGACATGAAAGACTGGACAAAAAGCATATGGACACTGCAACCTAGCTGACCCCCATGCACACACACTCTGAGCATCGACTCCATTCCCTGCTGTTTTGATGGCATCCTTATTAACTCCTAGACACAGTCAGCCTTTTTGGTGTTCCCATTTTACAATGGCTTACACAGTAATATGTTTTAGTATACAGTAATATAGTAATAAGGTAATAAGTTTATTAACTTATTTAATTAGAAAAAATCTATTTCTTTCATTTTACACTCCATAATGAGGCATGATCTCCCACATTTAGCACAAAAGACACCTGCTCTTGCCTTTGGGACGATGGCTAGACAGGTGAATAGTTATTTGATTTATATATTTGATCAATTCGTCAACAGTTTGGATCGTGTGGTCGAGAAATTGTTCCCAGCATTCATTCCATTGTGATGAGTATTTCATGAGTACAGGACCATCTATGCTATTTTACTGGAAACAAAGAGTGATGAATTGGTCTGGGGGGAGTAAGGGAATCACCAGTGATTTTTGGCATGTATGTTAATGGCCATAAGGAAAATAATCACATTTATGAGAAAAATAAGAGCTAAGAAGAGTTCATTTTTGGCATCAAATAGCAGAGACTCATTTCCTAAAGGAAACTGAATCACTGATTTCATTCCTGATTTATCAGACACCAAAAAATGTCCAATTATAATACCACCTGCGTGTACAGGAGTGTAGACTACTGAACCGTTGGATATTTTAGGCTATTACAAACTACAAAAAAGGAAAACAACATTCCTGACTCTGCTGTGCTACTACAGAGACACTCACATTCCTGAAGCATCACATACCAAGAGGTTTGCTTTCCGCCACTGTGTTAAGCTGTACTATGATGAGATGCACAGTGGGGGGACTCAGGAATAACAGACCGCCTCACATACTTTCCAGAAGCCACTACTGCTGTGAAAGGCTATCAGACAGGTTGCGCTAGACAAGAGCAAATACTTTCCACTTATTTACCTGCAAGCTTCAAAGGCCAAAACATTTCGCAATGCTGAAGGACCGTAAGTTACCGTCATGACTGAGAAACTTTAAGCTAAAAAACAGGAAGCAGAGGCCATCTTGGATCATGTGGAGTTACCTTATATAAAGGGAATTGTATATATATAACATACTGCATATAGACATGCATTTCTAAATTTCCCTTAGGCATATAATGAATATACAAATGTACATGTATAAAGCCTCTTGAACCTTTATATATATATATATATATATATATATATATATATATATATATATATATATATATATATATATATATATATATGTATGTACGTATATACATGTATGTGTATATATACACACATATACACGTGTGTGTGTATGTGTGAGTGAGTGTGTGTGTCTGTAATATATACACTCAGTTGCTCAGTTGCAACAGTGTAATGAAAACCATAACTCAGAGTCCCTGAAGCTATTTGTGTACTTTTCAGGTAAAAATACAGGCAGTATTTATACTACAGGAGATTCATGCCAGGCTCCTGGCCCCTCATTCCCTAGGGCCTGGTATGAGATTTTTGGATGCAGCTTGACTAAAATTGGCCTTAATACCATCTGCCATCTTTACCATTTATACCATTTTGCAAATAGGAATGATTCTACAAGATACAGCAGCATGGAAAACTTTTTCAGGCTCCAGTTAAATCCCATATGTAGGAGGCTCTCTTGATGTGGAATGAAATCGTTGCTATCTATGCTTACTTTATCTGATTTTCATACTCACAAGAGTGAAATTTTAGTAAGAATGTTTAAATATTTTTCTATATACAGCATTTGAATGTCTTGAATGTTTGCTGACTTTTGATTTACCCAGATTTGGTTGCTGTGACTCATTTTATTTACTAAGAAAGAATGGCTTTGATTGAGATCCATATAGTGGCACACAGGAATGATTTGTAGTAAGAAATGATATATAGACTATCCAATTATGAGAGATTTGAAATATGATCGATTGCACAGAGGAATTCTACCAGGCAGAATGCAGACTCTGTCCTTGCCAGCAGACAGCATTTGGGATTAAACACAAATCACAAAAACTGCTCTGAGTAATACAAAACCGGGATTGTGCAAGTGACGGTTCAGTATCATGGAGAAAGCTTCCTTTTTCTGATGAAAACTGTGCAATGAATAAGGACTATGAATAGTGTTACGTATTAAACACTAATTTGTCATACACCTGTCATAAAGCGAATTTTGCAGCTGAAAAACATAACACGGTATAGATTGTAAATATTTGCTGCTCTCCTAAGCAATCAATGAAATGACTTCCACGTTTTTACATTTCTGCAAATAATATCCAGACTGGAGTTGGTTTAGAAAATGACAATTTTCAAGTTTCAGTTAGTGCTGTGGCTGAAGTTTCATTAGGATCTAAAGAGAATATTTTTGCCAAATGTTACACCTCTTTGTTAATTATAGCTTAAAGAAGAACACCGTACCATTTCTCACCAAGCGCCTCATGTTGTTGCACTGTGTAGCCAAACTGCGCCTCCTTTGGACCTCGGATGATCTGTGGATTCTTCGTGTCAATACTGAAGCAGTCCCGGCTCCCTTAAAATAGAAGCCTTACATTAATACGTATTGCATATTGATGCATCAAGTTATGAGACAATCTGGAACATGAGAACCAGTGGGTGTGAACAGTCACATTTTGCATTATCTGCTAAGTCTTTTAAAGGACTAAGAAAGAGAAATAACTGGTCAATGTCATTTCATCATTTGCTTTCCAAAACAATGAATGGCTACAAGCATTGATTGCTTACAAGGAAGAGAAAATCAACATAATCAGTAATCACAGGTTAATATTAATCACAATTAGGCAGTTATCAGAGGACATACTTCCTATACTTTCATCAGGACGCAAAGCAGAAAGACTCTGCCTTAATATTCCTTCTCCAAAATACACTTCAGCCTGCATCCACCAACAGATAAATACAGACCAAAAACACCAATTACTTATCAAGGAGAGAACAGGTACATATTTGGACAGGGACATATCTTAGGACAGGTTCAGCTGACCCTAGATCAGTCGTACCCCGAGACACTTGATCATTTGAAGTCTGGTTTCAATTTAAATGTTTATCTAGAGAGGTCAAATAGGAGCAGGAAGACTTTTCTACTGCTGCCAAGTGAGGCAAAAATACCATATTGGAGTAATGATGTCATATTGCGTTTCAAGTTTAATTTCCCCAGCAGGAAACTGAAATGTGAAAATGTATGGAACAGATGAAAGGTCCATCCTCTGATAAAAAGGAGACAAAAAGGTCAAGATGATTCTTTCAGTCTTCCTGTCTTTTCATCTGTCTTTCTTTCTCTCTCTCTCACTCTCTTACACTCTTGTCACCACATCATCGTGCTGCAATAGCCTATTCAAGTTTCCTTACCTCTTTTTGTCTGGTTGTTGTTTGAACCCTGTGTTGAGAGGTAGCTTTTGACGACAAGATAATATGATAAAAATACTACAATTACAGTGTAGAATGAAATGTTTGTGATGTCAGGTGAGTCTGTCTATAGATTTATGTTGTGTGGATTATTGCCCTTGACATGATGTGTGCCTTCAAATGTTTTCCAATAGGAGAGAAATGCAGCCTGAAAAGCAATCACAGTTAATAAGAAACAGAGTTATATTCCCTCCCTAGCTGAACAAACACTTTATATAAGTAGACTTTTCTTTTTTCAGATTTTATACAGCTTCATTTAAGCATACTGTATAGGCCATTTTGATTTGCTGCATTTTTCATTACAAAACAGACTCAAAACCTCTCATATATTTGAGGAACTGTCATGGCAATTGCAACTAGTTTTAAAGAGGAAAGCAGAAAAAATGGCCAAATCTGATACATGCCTTTACCTAATGCTACTAATATCTTCACCAGTCCCAGACCTACTCACAACCCAAAGATTACCCAATTTTCCACTTACTCTAGATGAAGTCTATCCATTGGACTACATCGATTTTGGATTCCAAATTTTACTTCTTTAGTTTAAAACTGTAGCTATGAGGCTAACTTTGCTAACAACCACTGAAACTCAACAGTGAACCAAACAGCCCAAACTGTTTCTGTAAAAATACATCCTCAAAATATCACTCAACCTGTCCAGTCACTATGGGCATCCATTTCAGACAACACCAAGGCTGGTTGAATCAGATTCATCCATATTTATGACAGTCTTTGTCACAAATGCTGATTCTAGATCACCACTCTACAGGTTTTTATTTTATATCGTTCACTGTAAGCGGCCTAACAAGTCTGCACAACCATAATGAAGACCTGAATGTGGGTTGAGTGGGTTGAAAGACATTTTGGTGATGTATTTTTACATGTGAGATATTTGGGTGACTATTGAATTCTTGTGTTAGCAATGTTAGCCTTGCCACTCCAACTAAAGAAGCAAAATTTGGACTCCAATTGTGTAAATTTGACTTTTCGCCAAACTTTTCTTTAATTTTTTGGTGAAACTAACAGGTTTCTCCACAACACATCTGAAAATATGCACTGTTAAATTGGAAGTCACTGTGTCTTATTTGTGATGAACTGATATGGTTTATAAGTTTATAACTGTAATTTATCATTTGGTTTATAATTGTGTACATTGCTATTGATTGCAAAACTTTCTAGAAATAACAATTAGGTTTTTTTAATCACACTCACACAATACTAGGCATGCACCGAAATGGAATTTCTGGTGCGATACGATAATTTATAATTAACAACTTATTTGATATCACTATCAATTACTAACATTTCTACCCCTTTTTTGTATTTTAAAACAAATTTACATAATAATCTGTACATAAAGTGCAGAAAGCAAAAGACTAAAACTCTAAAGATGGAGCAAGATTATTAATTCTACATAGACATGACAGCTAAATGAGACATGACAATTAGTGCAAACTTTTACATACTTACTCAAAATCATTCTTTTAAATGGTTATCTCCTTTTAGATGTCTTACTAAGATCATAAAGATCTTTGTGTTAAATGTGTTACCGTGCAAATTTCACATTTTTCCTTTGGAAATACAGAATTTATCTGAACTTTAGCTACCAGTTTATTTTGAAGAAGCAAACATATGCTGTGGTGTATGAAAGTGGTAGCCTGTTAGCTAATCAACTTTTTCTCCACTAGCCATCCTAGGTGCACTAGGTGGTAGTGCTAACTGAGCTAACTGAGTTTCACACAACAAAAGACAGATTAAATTTGAGTCTTACCCAAAACTTTAGTTTAGTAATTATTTATGACTTTAAATGTGTTTATGGTCATTTTTTAGACAGTGCTATATAGTATTGGACTTTTGGTATTTATTTATTCTTTTTTTCAAAAGTTAATTCGTACTGTCCAAGTATAAGGTATCTGGATTCATGGCTTGATGTCAGCTGATCACAATAAAGGAAGTAATCAGCACTTCAGTGTTCACTCTACCCACAGCTGTCATTCATTAAGAGTTTATTTAGTTCATAAGAACTAAAACTATGATATTCTGGTGCTGGAGGGAGAAGCCTGAGTATGTTGTCTTGTACAGATACTATTTGCAATCATAGATAAAAAACATCAACTATGTCTGAGCAGCTTAACAGACAGCAGAGTAACTTAAGCATTTAATGGTAAAACAGACTGATCTTTAATCTCCGTCCTTTCTTGAATAACATCAGCAGGACATTCAGCACAACACTGCCCATTTAAACAAGCTGAAACCCTGATATTCCTTTACTCAGTGGCCAATTGGAGTTCTCTCCAAGAGCTTCACTATGGCAACACAAACAGAAAAAAAAACTCCTAACAGCACATGGAACTAATGGCTGCCATGCCCTTATTTTATTGCTTGGCAGGCTTCACATGATCTGCATCACAGGTCTTTAACTCTTGGGTCAAAGGGATTGAGGGTCTGCATAACTTAAGAATTCTACTGATGTGACTGTACCACCTTATTCAACTCGTTAGCTAACTATCAAGCCCTTTGTGAGTTTAAAAAGTTTAATAAACAAGCACACTACACTACTGCAACCCCCTGCATTCAGAGACAACTTCTCTCATCAAAAACTTGACCTAAAACATCAGCACAACTCATAGAGAGGAGACACACTCACAATCCAAACTAATTATTATAACATTAACAACAACAAAAAACTGTATGGATAACTTTTACCACAATTATACTTTGCCCATAAGGCCCCTTTGAATTGTTACAGCCTCCCTTGAACGTTACTATCGCAATCTTCGTATAAAACACTGTTAGCCAGCTAGCTAACTGCTGCTATAGGCCCAAAGGCCGGGTAAAACAAATGACCTTATGGACGATTATTACCAGATGTTATAAAGGAGGAGACCGATCATTGGTTAAAACATAAATGGGAAATCTCGTAAAGCTCAACGTGGCGTCTGTTTGCAGAGAAAGTCCTGGTAACATAAAATGTCAACATCAGCCTGTTTCAATACGCTTCCACCCACAGAAAGGGCTAGATATACAGGGAAACTAAATCCCAAAATCAGTGTGGAAAAATTACTCTCTAGAGTATCCAGCCGTCACTTATTTTGACCTGCACCATTATCTGACAGAATCGCCAGGTAGCTTAAGCTAACTTTAGTCAATACTGTCATCCAGATAGCCAACGTTAGCTAACATTGTGATTAAAATGCTCAAGTCTACAACCCACTATGAGTCTGCATATTATTAGCAATACAATCAATATCATCCTTGTTCTGTATAAATCTGGATTAATTACATATAAACTTGTCACTATGCTATTCTCATCTAAGAGCAAAATGCTCAAGTATAGCTGTACTATTACATATTATTAGCACTACTAGCTATTACAATTACACTCGTTGTTAGCTAGCTAGCTAGCAAGCTAATGTAGCTAGAATCTAGACAGCTTGACTGACTATCTCACAGTAACCTCATGTATCTGGGGAATTGGATACCATTTTTTAATGACAAATTCTCAGATAGAGAATTAATTAACTTTCTGACCAACCTGACCCAAAATGTCTGCTGCACACACAGACATGGATATCATCAGGATCCCATATGGTCCCTGTGGATGGTGAGCCCTCCTACCTGTTTATAGCCTTGTGTTATGTTTTGGCTCCGTTTTGCTTCTTGAAATTATGTAAAATCTTAAACCAGGTTTTTAATCTTATTTATTGTGCACATCACCATGCAATAGCTTTTTGGCATATCTGCAGTTTTAGTTTAAAAGCAATAAAGAGAAGTGAACAATGCAAATCTGTTTCCCCCAGGGCATGGGCAAGGCCTAAATGTGCTCTGCCTCTGTAAGGACTTTGTCATTACCTTCAGAAATACTGCAAGTTGTATCATTCAGCTCACCATACAACTTATGTTTTCCATAGTTGCCAAGATTGAAATTCGAGGATCTGTTCAGAATTGCTGAAGAACACCAAACACAAAACAATGTGGGTGTCCAAACTGAATAATGGATATATATTTTTCATATAAGAAACGGTTTACATCTATCAGAGTACAATAATGTCAGCTAACGTCCACAGAGTGACAAAAAATAGATAGGTGAAAATAACTATAACCAAAAAAATAGATTAGCCATGTTAGCTTTCTAAAAATAAACTAGTTGGCAAAAAGCTAAACATGAACAAACACCGGCAGGGGAAAACAAAAACTGTTCTACTGAAAGCAGCTGTAAACAGCACCAACTTTAAAATAGTCTTAGCATAATGTTAGTCAGAAGTGGTGAAATGCTGACACAAAGGTTCTTGTCTTCCATATGACAAAGTTTATTCCTTCATAACTCCTAATTACACAAACCCATCTTAACTCTGAGAAGACATAGGAACTGATGTAAGGTTATTTTTACTTCAAGCTCGAGTACAAGCTCTAATTACTGGACATCGTTGTTAACGTTGTTGTTCTAGCAGTCATAATTTTAACTGTGTATACTGGTCAGTGACTCATTTAAGAGCCAATGACAACTGAGAGCGAGAAGAAAAGAAAGCATGTTTATAAAAGGAAAAATGGCTAAAAGGTGTGTAGCGAAGCTTTGTAATGAGCTGAGTTGAAGACACGAGTACAGTCGAGTGCATACACATCTAAAGCTCTAAAAACTACCACACTCTTCACATCTTTACATCCACAACCCTCACTTAAATATGTTTACCCGCTGCTTCTTTAGCTACTGTGTCAGCGCAAACTGCACAGAATACAGCAGCAGCTCCACGACTGTTTACTTGAGTCTCCTCCTAATGGGAGAACGCAATAGTTAGCATGAGTTCGCGCGAGTTTGGTTCGTTTAGCAACAACTTAAAGGTCGAGTAGCGTGTGATGCCCAATATTTTAGTCGCCTAAAATCATCTGCAGAATAGTGTGAGGTGTCCAGTATTTTTACAATGCCAGAACTTTAAAAGTCGCGTAATGTACCCAAGGCTTTAGGTTAGGCTAGGTTACTTTACCAGACATACGCTAATGCTAACATTAACAAGCTAGCTAACTTAGCTAGAACTGGTTAGATTGCCAAGACAGGATAGATTACCAGCTTGCTAATACTTGCTAATAATTTGTTAACAACACTCTGCCTCTGCCTCAAAGAAAAATAATATTTAACGTTACTACCAATGTTGTACAACCTTGTTATGGAGCAATGCTAGCACTGAGTAGCTAATGAGTAGCATTAACTAAACTAGCTAGCTTTAGCTGACTAATCTTACGAGGAGCCAACTGAGTGTAATCAACGTGAATCTAATCTAATTTAGGATAATTCTAAGAACAACATAAGTGACTTAAGCTAAATATATTCCTCACCTGTAACGTTAGCGGTTCAAATGACCGTTGAACCTGGTTCAACTGTTGAACTGTTGAGTTTCCGTTGAACTTTGAATTTGAGAGTGTGATGGCGCGCGACTCTACTGATCCCCAGGATTACCTACCAGTTCAACTATGTTTTTTGTCTCACCTTCAAGAAGTGGTGAGGTGGGGAGAGTAGCACACTCATACTCTAGTAAAAGGATTGCTCCTGTAGTGAAATAATGACTCAAGTAAAAGGATTCTTCTCATTTTTAGTCTAAAGTAAAATAATAAACCTCAAAACTCATAACTAGTTACTACTCATGACAAGTTACATTTACTCAACCAGTACAGATGCTGTTACCAATGTAGCAAATGTAATTAAGCACAAAATTGAATTAGTAACTAAATGCTATTGGCTAAAATGTACCTTGGTAAAAAAAAGTAGATTCTTTTCTTCAGAAAAATATGTAAAAATAGCATAATTGGAAAATATGCAGGAACGTACACATCCACCAAATCGTTACTTAAGTACATGTAACTGAGGTAAGAAGGTAAGAAAAAATGTAGTCTAAACATAAGAGTAGTACTAATTTTTACCCTCGATAATTTTTCAGAATTTTTATACATTGATAGGTCTGTTCTATATCTTCTTATATAACTCTCATTTTCTCCTAAGCAACCTGCGGCTGTATTGTTAGATACTGCGCTATTACATTGTTGTTCATATTATTTGCAGCACTTCTTTGCAGCCACTCTTTACAATATTAGTATTCTGTCTGTACATCGATTTACTCAGTCATGTAAATTATTCCATTAAATCCCCAAATCAAGGCATAGCACTCATTCATAGTTGCACATACCCCAATATATATACACATGTGACATATGTGATATGTGTCCTCTGTCTCTTACCTGGGAGCAGGAAGCAGCTCCAAAGCAGCAGGATGGTATAATACTCCATAAGAGTGTATGTGCATAGGTCAGCGTGTGTGTGCGTGTGTGTCAGTCAACACCGCTTGCTGTAAAGTTTTTGGTCTGCTTGAGACAACTGCGCTGCCACAGCAGCACTAAATCGGGGGAGGAGTGGCTCACATCTGCAAGGAGGTGCACTGAACTGCGCACTACTGAATGACAACAAGGCTCTCAGACACACACATACACACAAGCTACTGGAAGTCTGCATGATCCCATATACCTTCACACACATACCATGATGGGGTGTATGTGAGTGTGGTGTTTGGGGGGGTGTAGTGGGTCTTTTAAAGCTTCTTGTAGCTCAGGCAGGAGGTGACAGAGGCATGTATTCTTTAAAGAGACTTTTATGAAGCAGTTCTAGTAATACCTTTCTTCTTTTACTGCTTTTAATGTTGTTACACCTTTATAATACTCTCTCTCTCCCTCTCCCTGTCTCTCTCTGCCCCCCCCCCTCTCTTGCTGAATGAAATGAGGGGAAACACGCCAGATGTTGAGCCATGGAACGTTTAACCAGTCCAGTGCCTTGGGCTTCACAAGTTTCAGTAAACACACTGGCTTCATTCTGGAAAACCACATCCACACATTCACAAAGGACATTGTCAAGTAATTTGAGAAAAATGTGTGAAAAAAAATGTACATATGTACAACCTCATTACCAAAAATGCTGCACAAAATGTAAATAAAAACGAAATGCAATGATGTGCAAATCATTTAAACCTTATATTTCATTGAAAATAGTACAAAGACATCAAATGAAATGCTGAAACTGAGAAAATGTTTTGTTTATTGAAAAATAAATGCCCATATTGAATTTGATGTTCCAAAAAAGTTGGGACAAGGGCAACAAAAGGCTGGTAAAGTTGTGTTATCCAAAAAAAACACCTGGCGATTGATTGGCAACAGGTCAGTAACATGACTGGGTATAAAAAAGCATCCCAGAGAGGCTGAGTCTTTCAGAAGTATTGATGAGGAGGGGTTCACCACTCTGTGAAAGACTGCACGAGCAAATAGTGCAACAATTCAGGAATAACATTTCTCAACATAAAACAGCAAGGAACTTCTGCTTTTCATCATCTACGGTACATAATAACATTGAAAGATTCAGAGAATCCAGAGAAATCTCTGTATGCAAGGGACAAGGCCAAAAACCAGTATTTGCTGGCCATGATCTTTGGGCCATCAGGCGGCACTGCATTAAAAACAGACATGATTCTGTAGTGGAAATCACTGCATGGGATCAGAAACACTTCTGAAAACCACTATCTGTGAAAATGGTTCATCACTGCATCCATAAATGCAAGTTAAAACACTTAAAACAGTTAAAAAAACAGTTAAAACTCAAAGAAGAAACCATATATAAACAGGATCCAGAAATGCTGCCACCTTCTCTGGGCCCAAGCTCATTTAAGATGGACTGAGGGGATGTGGAAAAGTGTCCTGTGGTCTGACAAATCAACATTTGAAATTCTTTTTTGAAATTATGGACACTGTGTCCTCCGGGCTAAAGACCACCTAGCTTGTTATCAGTGCACAGTTCAAAAGCGAGTATTCATGATGGTATAGCGGAGCATTAGTGCACATGGCATGGGTGACATGCACATCTGTGAAGGCACCATTAATGCTGAACGATATATATACATGTTCTGGCAACATATGCTGCCATCCAGACGATGTCTTTTTCAGGGAAGGCCTTGACAGTGTCAAACCACATTCTACATGTATTACAACAGCATTTCTCCAGTCCAGACCTATCACCCACTGAAAACATTTGGCGCATTATGAAATGAAAATTACGACAAATGAGCCCCTGAACTGTTGAGCAGCTGAAATCCTGTATCAAACAAGAATGGGAAAATAGTTCACTTTCAGAACTACAGCAGTCGGTCTCCTCAGTTCCCAAACGCTTACAGAGTGCTGTTAAAAGAAGAGGTGATGAAACACAGTGGTAAACATGCCCCTGTCCCAACGTTTTGGAACGTTTTGTTGGCATCAAATTCAAAATGGGCATATATTTTTAAAAAACAATAAAATTTCTAGGTTTCAACATTTAATTTGTTGTCTTTGTATGATTTGCACATAAATGCATTTTGTTTTTATTTTCATTTTGCACAGCGTCCCAACTTTTTTGGAAATGGGGTTGTACAAATACCCTGACAAAATGTAGGCTACCTATTATTAATTGGTACAAAAAGCACTTGAAAAGCAATATTGATTAATCTCTACTGTCTACTATATGTCTACTATGTCAGAAGAGACTGATTCCCAATATTCCATTGTTTTTGGCTTAACCTTTGCATTTAAGCATAGAAGTAGTGTGTTACGTAACTGAAACCTGTTCAAGTGAGCTCTCTAGTTCCATTTCCCAAATATGGGCACAATGGTTCATCACAAACAAACTCATTAGATTGAGCGTGTCTGCTGGAAATTAAACTCTTTAGAAAACAAAGGAATATCCCGGAGGTGTTAGGGCAGCCAGTAGCAGTAACCACACGAAAGCACTGACTTTACCAAGATATTTCTGAGCTCTGTGACTCAGGGTTTGAAAGTGTTTCCAGACATGGATGGGCTGAGATAAGAGACTTACAGGATATAAAAGAGTAGGCCAGTGAATGGACATGAAGATTCCAAGCAGTATAAGTGCAGTGCTCCACCAGAGTATTTTACTGCGTTTGGGAATTTCATAACTAATCTTTTTACTATGCTGATAACAACATTAAAAAAAGTAACAGTTAGTGTTTAGTTAGTTGTGAAATTTTCTTTTCAAAAATAAATCTAAAAATAAAAATAGGACTGAAATCACACAATTTTAAATTAAGTGGCTCATATTTCACAATTTCTTTGAGGTCCAGTTTTATACATTTGTGTGGCTTTATGTACCAAAACATTTGGTTATTCATTTACTTGACCAGGGAAGTAGGTGGTTACCTGTGGCATAACCCACACTAAATGCACCCTATGTAAAAATGGGTTTCTTTTTAACAGTCAGCTGGGCAGACGGCTATGGCAAGTTCTCCAATAATATTTACAGTTAAACACTGCAACATACAAAATTAAGAAAATGTTACATACATGCCTTACAAGCTTCAATTATTTTAAGCGAGAGATGCCATAAGTAGTATTAAATGCAATATGGGAATGTGAATATACACCACCATTAGCTTTGCTAAACATAACATTGCACGAATACGGGAAATCAGCATTATCTCATTTACTAGCTACTAAGTATCTTCAAACACATAACTTCTAAAAACGTGTAACTTTTTTTAGTAACTATATATTATTCCTAACGACTCACTGTTGTCATAGTATGCAGAAATGGAAATTGCTTGCTAATAACTAGTATTTAGTTGGATAAATAATTATTAGTTACCCACCTGACTTATAAAATACAGTGCATGGAGGCACAGATATCTATGAGGGATACGATTCTGACATGCATAGTCATTTTAGTGTGGAGTGTACATCGGATGTGATGTAGTATAGGTATATATTGAACTTTTTTTAATGACTAGTCAACTATACATACACATTTTCTAAGCTGTTTGTCCTCCTGGGTCACAGGGGGTGCTGAAGCCTATCCCCGCTCATTAGGCAGAAGGCAGAAAGCACCCTGGACAGGTCGGCAGTCCATCACAGCAAAGACACAGAGACATGTACATCCACACACACACTCACACCTAGGAGCAGTTTAGTATCACCAATTCGCCTGTCTGCATGTCTTTGGACTGTAAAGGGAACTCATATTGGTAAAGCATGCAAACTCCACATAGAAAAGACTGTGGTCGCCCGGCCAGGGAACCGAACCCAGGCCCTTCTTGCTATGAGGTAACAGTAACACTAGTGCAAATGAATAGTCATGCAACCCACAGTACAAGATCATTTTCTAACCTATCTTTATTTATTAGAAGTAAACAGGCTGTGTTTGTAACTGTGCATTTAAAACAGATATAGGTCACCTGTGTTCTGATTGGCTGCCCTGTATTGTACATCTAGGCTGAAACATTCCTTACAACTGGAATAATGTGAATGGGTGGAGCTAAATGGTGAAGCTAATGTTTACATGCTACATCTTTTATGTCAAAGTTGCGAAGAAAATTAAGTTTTCCAAGAGTTCAGCTCTTTAAAATACACTTCAGTTATGGCTGGTCAAATATGGATAAATTATAGAAAGACTCAAGCCCACATCACTGCAAGCAGTGGGTTAAATGATTCGCCCAATAAACAACAACTGAGACATGGGTAAGTTCTTAATATAGCTTAATATGTGTGAGATCATGACAATCACAGCCAAGAGTAAGGCAATTTAGTCATGTGATATTCACCACAATATGTCACAAGTTTCCTTAAATACTTTAGAAGTGACATAAAAACCATTTCACAGAGCCATACATAAACAATCCTTTATTTCCTTTCAGAAAAACAGTCTTAGGTCAAAAATGGGAAAAAAAAGAGTAGCGTTAAGTTGAACCAAATGGAGTGAAAACGGAGCTGGTTAGCACTGCTGCATGCGCTTCTCTAAAGAGCCAAACAGCTGGCGAGTTGACCTGGGCTGCAGCAGCATACTGTTTGCCAGATTGAGATGCTCCCGGTGCTGGGAGATTTAGGGCTTCCAGTGTACGCCAGCACAGGTCTGTACTGTCTTAGTTTAGTGAGAGTTATCCTCAAGCGCTGGCAATCCTGGACATACTCTAGCATTCATGTAAAGATGATAAAGACCAGGTGTGAAAGGAGGGCTGTGGGGCTGACACTTAATCATCCACCCTTTAACAAAATGGACATGTGCTTTGCCATACAAAACAGCACATGCTACATACACACTGTAAAATCTAGTATGCCATCTCTAGTCATTTAAGTACTGTAGAGCTGTGTGTATATCAGAGTGTGGTGAATCAAGTGTGGTCTTTAAGATGTTCCCCAATGCTGCTAAATACACCAGTGTGGTCTTCAAAAGTCTATTACAATCTGTCAAACAGATTGAAATCATTGATACAGTCACTTGCGGTAATAAACATGTTTTCTATTTAATCACTGAAAGAGCATCAAAAACATATTCATTACAGCCCCGATAGCCCTCAGAACCATTGGAGCCTGAGAAAACTCTCCAGTTTAAAGTCTATTTGCAGTGGTATCCATGTGTTTGTCTCTTAGTAGTGTAGTTTATTGCTTCCATGAACCATGGTCATATGCCAAGTTGCCAACTCTAAAGCTTAAGTCTCCATTTATTTGAGTTACATGTGAATACATCTTAACCCAAAGTCAACAGATTGAAAATTAAGGACGATAGGAATGAGGAAAGTAGTGGGAACTCAGACAGCACAGACAGACAGGCAGAACACACTGAGACTGAATACACACACATGCGCTGGCACACACAAACACACAGAGTGAGCCAAAGCATGCAATGATCTTCAGAGTACATCCTGAACAAACACTCAAAGAACTCTCTGCTACTGAAAGAAGGAAATATTGAGACACTACGTGGCTACATCAGTAAAATGTCTGCAAATGTCAGGAACAGCACATATCGTATCTTGATGAAAATCAACATTGTGCTTGTGTTTTCTGGCTTGTCAACATTCAAATCAACGTCAACAGGCTTAAAGAAGCAGAGTAGATTGTGTTCTCTAAACATTTCTGGTTGTACTGTTTTAAATTACATGCAAGAGGCTCAGAGAACCATCTTGGAATTATTTACATTCCATTTCTGTTTTGAATTGATTAGAAATTCCTTTTGTTTCTGTTAGAAAAATTGGAAAGGAGCTGAGTTTACACTTACATCCACATGAGGGCAGCAAAGAGGCAGCAAGATAAGAGTGATCAGTAATTTTCTTTTGAAAATGCTTATGTATGGCATTGCTCACACAAATTATTCAGGAGTCATTGCAGAGTCAAATGATTCTGCAACATTCAACACCAATCTACTGATTACTATGCATAAATAATTCACTCAAATTCACGTATTAGAATTAGACTTCAATTGCTCTTTAATTGTGCTTCGTTTCAGTGGACAGAATGGTATCATATTTGCATTAAATACTGGGAGCATGGACCATCTTAGAGTCAGTTGAAATCAATAGAAAACTTTCTTTCTCCCCAGAGTACATTGCTTAAAGGGAATTCAAGCAATTTTTCAAAATTTCTGCATAATACAATTGTTGAGATGAAAACACAGTTATTCAGAGGGGTTTGATGTGAAATGGTGCACTATACAGAAATATACAGATTCAGATTTCTTTGCAGGGGTGGTGATATGAACCAGGTGTACATACATTATATGAACAAAGTATGTGGACACCCTCCTAATTATTGAGTTCAAATGTTTTAACTTCATTTGCTAACAGGTGTATGAAATCAAGCACATATCATGCATTCATATAAAGTTCTTTTTAGTTTCTTTTTGCCTCCAAAAATCTAAAAATGGTGCAGCTGTCCAACTATATACACTATATAGACAAAAGTATTGAGACACACCTCCTAATTATTTCAGAGTTCAGGTGTTTCAGCCACACCTATTGCTAACAAGTGGATCACATTATGCACATAGCCTTGCAGTCTTGATAGACAAACATAGGCAGTAGAATGGGCCGTACTGAAGTGACTTTAAACGTGGCGCTCATGAGTTGCCACTTTTGCCACAAGACAGTTAATGAAATTTCTGTCCTGCTAGATCTGTCCCGGTCAACTGTAAATGCTATTATTGTGAAATGGAAACATCTAAGAGCAACAACAGCTCAGCCAAGAAAGTGGTCAAAAATGTTCAGAGCTCAAAAAATGTTTAGAGTTTATTGGCTTTGCGTTTTACACAATGAAATTTTGTTAGTGACTTCTCAAGTCAAGGCCTAGGACATTAAAAAACAAGTACACCAGAGCAGATATTGAGACACAGAATATCAGTAAGTAGATGGTAAGTACAAATGAAACATTGGCAACACAAAACAAAATGCAAAGTACCACACAAAAAAAAGATTACATGAATTTACGATTCCTGTATCATTTTATTTTCATCTGAGTTCTTTATTGCATTAGCATGATGTGTATGTCAGAAGCCTCTCTATGACACACCTGTCGAAATTCACCAGCAGTTTCTGGGGCAGATTGCTTCTTCTCAGCCTCTTCAAGTACTGAAGGTGTTGCTTTGCCCTCCTTACAGTAGAGGAAGTGTCAGTTTGAGCTAGACCCCTTAGTTCCAGTGAAGGGTAATGTTAATGCTGCAGCATACAAAGCCATTTTATGCTTTCAACTTTGTGGCAGCAGTTTGGGGAAGGCCCTTTTGTGTTCCAGCATGACTGTGCCCCTGTGCACAAGGCAAGGTCCATAAAGACATGGTTTGATGAGTTTGGTGTGCAGGAACTCCAGTGGCCTGCACAAAACCCTGACCTCAACCCCAGTGAACACCTTTGGGATGGACTGGAACGTCGATTGTGAGACAGGCCTTTTCGTCCAACGTCACTTGCTGACCTCACAGGCACTCTTGAAGAAAGCCTTCACAGAAGAAGGCTGCGGGAGGGGGGTGCTTATTAATGCCCATGGTTTTGGAATGGGATGTCCAACAAGCTTGTATAGCTGTGATGGTCAGGTGTCCACATTCCTTTGGTTATGTAGTGTAGCTATAATCACAATCACCAGTGAAATTTACATATCTTCTGAGTTTTTAATGCTGATAATGATGCAATAGTGGTAAATCTTGAAAAAAAGGTCTTCTTAGGTATTATTTTGTACCCTGTAGGTACTTCTCTGCTATAAAGTTAAAAATAAATTTTCGACCAAAGTATCATCATAAAACCATAGTTAAACAAGATCTCAGGCATCAGGCTGTGTATTGTTTATCATTTCATTTACTTTCTATGAAGTAGCTTTTAGATGTTTTAAACAGTTATGACATATGAACAGACAATTTCACATCAGATCACTCTGAATGACTTTATTTACATTTCGACCTTTTAATTATGCAAATGTTTTTATAAATCAGTGGAATTCCACTTTAATGTACTCATGTATGTATATGTTGAATGCCTGCAGAAAATGGCACTATGTTTACATTGTATAGTGTGAGAACTCAGTACTCAGGCTGTTTAATGAATGCTCACAAAGACAGACAAAAACATTTACGTCATTTACAACTGAAGTACATACGTGTGTTTGCAAGTAAAAATGAGAGAAAGGAGCAAAGAGGAGGGGAGGAGCTCTTGTTGATCCTAGCATGTGTATGTGTGTGCGCTACATCACAGCAGGCCACAACAACCTCTGAAGCAGTGACAGCCACTGACTGCCTGCACAGATGCACAGGATTAGCCATCCTTTAACTTGACGATCAAGTGGGCTTTGATATTGTTGCAGAACTACTGAGCACCGATTCCATGCCAGCAGTAAAGGTAAGAAGAGGGTGCTGCATGTATAAATTATTATTATTATTATTATTATTATTATTAATCACAGTAATTTATTTCACTGCAGATTTGTCAAGGATTTGTTTGTTGGCAAGGAGAATTATACATGAAACTGATTCATTTGTTAGCTTATAATTAGATAACAGTTCTTGTGAGTCATATCACAAGAACCATGTGATAACTTTCTTACTGTAAAGCATATGGCAGACTGGCGTATATAACTATTTATATCTCTTAGTTTCCTTTTTGTCTGGGTAAAACAGAGGCAGCGAATGGATTCCCATTATGTTTGAATCCCTGGTGGCTTACAAACTCTGTGAGTGTGTATGTTCTGGGAGTTGACTAAGACAAAGAGAAGGAAACACATGAAGTCAAACCAGGAAATGACCAGAAACAATAGCCTAACGGCAACTGTGCAGTACAGTATAGCTTAATGATCCAGAGAGTTTAACAGAAAAGTTAAGGCCTGTATGTATGTTTTATAACTGTATGGCTACATACTGCATAGGTTTATATATAGACACAACTATTTCTGTCTATTGATCTATGTCAGCATACACCTGTACCTGTAGACATTTACTGTTTCAGTTTGACAGGCAACATCAAACAATGAACTGTCTGAGTTCCACTGACCATGATAACGCTGTATATTCTGAAACAAAAAAGCTGCTTAGATTGAAGAAAAATCATCATCTGCATGTTCATCCTCCAAATCCTATCAGTGTGTTCGTCACCAGCGAGAAAATAGGTCATGTAGCCTACTCTGCTTTGCTTGATGCGAGATATGATGTACATGTAGGTGGAGGAGGCTGTCAAAATCCCTTTGTGCTCTGTATTCAAAAATAAACCTTTGGATTTTTTCAGAAGAAGCAAATCCTTTAATTTAGTCTGGAAAGGAGTATGAACAAGCAGTACCTAGAATAGAATAGGTCAGGAGCTAAATCACATGAATATTAATGGATTTACCTACTTTTAAAATGCTGCTATGAAACAGGTTTATCTGAGCTTGTGATCTTCAGTGTTTCTCATTTCTGGTCCTGGAGTCCCTCTGCACTTCTTGTAGCACACCTGAAGTTTATTAACTAAGAAAAATGAACTATGTCTAAATTATGTTATCATGTATATATATAATATATATATATATATATATATATATATATATATATATCTGTTGTTGCTCCTAAATGCTTTCATTTCACAATAATAGCACTTACAGTAGACAGGGGTAGATCTAACAGGACAGACATTTACTGACTTGTGGCAGAGGTGGCATCCTATGACAGGGCCATGTTTAAAGTCACTGAGCTCATCAGTACGATTCTACTTCTACTGCCAGTGTTTGTCTATCAAGACTGCAAGGCTTTGTGCTTAATTTTATCCACCTGCTAGCAATGAGTGTGGCTGAAACACCTGAACTCAGTAATTGGGAGGTGTGTCCCAATATTTTTATCTATGTAGTGTATGTGGTTGGACGATTGCACCACCTGACATTTGTAGATTTTTGGAAGCAAAAAGAAACTAAAATGAATTTTATACGGATGCACTAAACATTGTTTCACATGAAAGAGGTATTGTTGGATAATTTGATGTATGTCATGTATTTATTAAATTATTTTATGGGAAAATAACAGACTTGGACACAATGCATGTCATGTCAGTGATCCATATATCACTTCTTCAAATGTGTTAAATTGAAATCAGGTGCACCCGATCAGGTGCTAATGATTAGAACACTATTACAGAAGATCTTGTAGCAACTTGTCTTATTTAAACCTCAGATATCTGTTCTGGTCTGACCTTTGTTATTGGAGTTTGTGGTGTCATCATGCCTAGATCAAAGGAGCTCTCTGGAGCCTTCATAAAGAAAGTTCTGTATGCCTATGAGTCTGGGAAGGGCTTTGAGGAGATATCCAAAATATTGAAAATGAATCATTCCACTGTCCAGAAGATCATCAACAAGTGGAGAAGATTTAAAACCACTGCCAACTTGTCAGGACCAGGCTGCCCCAGCAAATTTAACCCAAGAGCAGACTGTAAGATGCTAAAAGAAGTCTTTAAGAACCTCAAATTTCATCACAACATCTGCAGGTAGCTCTTGCCGCTGTGGATGTCAAAGTGCATGCATCTACCATTAGAATGCGACTGCAGAAATCTGACCATGGTAGGTGCACCACAAGGAAGCATTTGCTGTCCAAAAAGAACATCAGGGCAAGACTAAAGTTTGCTAATCACTATCTAGGCAAGGACCAAGACTTCTGGAACAATGTGCAGGCGAGTCAAGGATAAAGTTGTTGGCCATAGTACCAGAAGCCATGTTTGGAGAAAACCAAAGACAGCATTTGATCAGAAGAACATCATATCAGCTGTAAAGCACGATGGTGGAAATGTTATGGTCTGGGGCTGCTTTGCTGCCTCAGGGTCTGGCCAACTTGCAATCATAGAATCAACTATGAATTCTCTTTCATATCAGAGAGTGCTTAAGGAAAATGTAAGGCCATCTGACAAAAAGCTAAAGCTGAATAAGTGGACCTTCCAACAGGATAATGGTCCCAAACATACAAGTAAATCCATGAAGGAATGGCTCAAAAGAGAGAAATGGAGGGTTATGACATGGCCTAGTCGAAGCCCAGACCAAAATCTCATTGAGATGCTGTGGGAGGATTTGAAGCAGGATGTACATGTGAAAAACCCTCAAACATTAGAGTTTAAATAATTCTGCATGAAGGAGTGAGCAAATGAGCAGTGAGTAGATGCCAGAAACTGGTAGAGTTATAGTAAAAGCCTACATAAAGCTGTTTCTGCCAAAGGGGGCAGTACCAAGCACTGAAGCCAGAGGGTGTAGTCAAATTTCTTTTGTTTTTTGTTCTTTTACGTAACATTTATTTATACATACTATTTAGCTGATGATCAAATATTGATTTGCCCACATGTGAAAAAAACTAAACATTTAATGGGATGTACTTTTTCACATGACTGTAATGCATAAGTTTTAATTTTACTGAGCTTTTTTACTTTACTTTTCTGTTTTACTTTAGATGTCATGGCGGCCGACGTACAGAAGCTCAAAGTTCCGAAATGTGTATGGTAAAGCCAGCAGTCGAGAGGAGTGTTATGAAGGTGTTCCCATCACCAGGAATGTTCATGATAACCACTTCTGTGCTGTCAACCCAAAGTTCCTTGCTGTAGTCACAGAGAGTTCAGGAGGAGGATCTTTTGTGGTTATACCAATTTACAAGGTAAAATTCTGTCTAATTATGTATCTGCTTCTCTGCTTACCCAACATTAAAGAAAACACATCTTCTTCTTTAGCCCTAGATACACACAAACACATTTTCAGGTGTGGAAGATACTGATTGTACTTTATTATTATACCTAAGTATAATTTTTTGAAGAGTATACTTTACTCATGTGTTATTGAAACCACATACTTGTACTCTTCCTCATTTCTAATAGAAAGTCCTTATATTTTCTTTAGACCTTTTTTTCTACTTTTACTTTTTGTTGATTTTTTCTTTTGGTCAAGTTCCAGGACATTTTAATTTATTTTTGATTAAAACATCCAAGCAATGTCATACCATTGTGAAATAAAATGGCCCACTATTTTAATTTTATATATATATATAGTAATGGTCTTAATGGGCATCCTTGATTTTTCCTAGAAGGTGCTTAGACCAGTAACACACTAAAACAACTGCACAAACATCAAATATAGCATGGCATCACAATGTGACAGGGGAATGATAGCTTGTGAAACCAGAGCTGCTCTGTGTATCTAATAAATCTCTGGTGAAATTGATAATTGTTTGACTAAATGCATTGATTATTGGTATTAATGATAATAATATGTGTTTAGAATTTTGGCATATCTTATTATTGAATATTGGCACATGTCATGTGATTCTCTTTGACTTTCACCAAATTATTTTTAACTCTGTACATCCAGATTTTGACACAGTACCTATACTTTCACCTAAGTATAGTGTCTCTGTTCTTTCTCCACCCCTGTGATACTCAATTCACTAATGATAGCCCTTCAGAGGACATAAATTACACCATGCTCTATACTGGCTGAGTGAAGAATGGAGATGTATGAGACTGGTGCAGAGTCAGCCATGTGACGTTTATCCAGTTCAGCTTATTCTCTCTCACTGAATACAGACTGGTGTTATACACAGACTGACCAGTGTCAGCACGTTCAGTGCAGCTTTTTGTAAGATATGCTTAGATAAATACAATTTTGTATGAACATAACTCAATTATGCCACATATTTCCATCCAATCAAACAGAGCAAAAACAGTATAGAAGGACTTTGTTACCTCAATACAAAATTCAATTGTTGATGGAACGAAATGTGAACATTTCAGTGAAATTTATTTAAGTTTTATTAGAATGGAATTCTAATTCTTTGGCTCAACATAAATAGTTCTCAACCACTAAAAATGCACTTGCATTATTTTTCTGTAAATTAATTAAAGACAACACAATTAATGTATTAAATCTCAGCATTTTTTCAGTTTGTAAATCCAAAGGCCCTTTGGGTTCATTTTTTGAGTGAACTAATGTAGTTGCATATAGCAGAATAACAGAGAAAGAGATCCATATGAACATAATTTAACTATATAATTAAACTCCAGATCAGATGTCACTAATGAATCTTGATCATGAACACAATGCTGCTTTTACCTTTGGCATGTACAAGCAACTTTATATGCTTTTGGTATTCAGATAACAAGAAATGCTAATGCGTGTAAGTGAGTGCTTTGCTCATACGGTAAGGAATGTGACCGAATCTGGTTGACCATCTCTAAATGAGGACAGGCTTGCATTGTGTTTGGATATTCATTTGGTGTAACTGCTGTGCAGCCAGATGTAATCTATACTCTGCCTAAAAATGTTCACCTCTCAGTGACCTGATGAGGTTCACATAGTTTGGCAAGGGCTTATTTGTTAAAGCAGGTGAAACTTTTTCCTTAAGCATCTAATATACACTAATGCCAGGTGTAAGTTCAGTTCCTTTTCCAAATATCATATGTACATACAGTTCAAGGAGAAGAGCTGTCTAATGACACTTTAAACTCTTTTAGACCCCCTTTTTTCAGTCAAGTCATTCCTCACTAAAGACAAACAGCATCACCCTGTGGAAACAGAGGGTAGTGCAGCATACTTCATTGTTAATATTCTGCTATGGAACTGTTATCAACTGTTTTTAATTGGAACACGCATTTTACTGCCTCAGACAGGTCGAGTAGACCCACATCACCCAAAGGTATGTGGTCACCAGGGCAGCGTGTTGGACATCAAATGGAATCCTTTCAGGGACAATATCATTGCTTCCTGCTCAGAAGACTGCACTGTGAGTTAAATACATTACATTGTATTAAGGTGTGCAGGAAATACATTATGATGGTTATTAAGGCATGAGTGATGTTCTGTCATGCTGGTGAGGATAACATGATTTATAAAACTTAATAAACTTATGGCAGTATGGGTGATGATGTCCATGATCATGATGGTGACGTCAGGTGAGGATCTGGGAGATTCCTGATGGTGGCTTGAGGCGCAACATGACAGAGGCTCTGCTGGTTTTGGCTGGCCACAGCAGGAAGGTGGGGCTTATAGAGTGGCACCCCACATGCAGTGGAATTCTCTTCAGTGCTGGATATGACGGCAAGGTAACCACAGGAACCAAAACCTCCATAATTCTCTTTCAGAGTCTTATATATTTAGATATTTATTAAATATGTAAATACATTCTTCATCTTTTCTCTTCTAATATAAATAGCAGCCCAGGTAGGATAGAGCAGGACACAAAACATTTTAGTTTTTGCTAAATTATTTTAAAAGTATTTGAGCAAAAAATATATATTTTTAAAATATGCAACCTACGCATCTCTGCAACAAATGAAAATGTTTCCAGCATCTAGCATTTACAAATAATTTAGTCAAAGTGTAACCCTTTAGGGTGTGGTTAATTGTAACAAGTTGTGGGGCTAGTTGTAATAACAGATATTAAATATTTAAAGTCTATTTATAGAATGTTTTTGATTAATCTTTTAATCACAATTTTTGTTTTAAATTTATGTTGAGAGTTATGGCACTGTGTCAAATCCAACCCTGCCATGTGGAGGCTGTACTTTAACCTGGCCAGTTGAGTTGGTTAAATTCTTCAAAACAGTGCCATGTTACAGCCGCCAAGAAGGTGATTAAAATAATCGCTTCACTCATGATGAAAAAAGTTACTTTTATAGTGAATCTTTTATATATATCCTTATATATCCTTCTGATTCTGTGAAAATTCACACATGGTGTTGGTTTGGAAACTGAACTTGACTTAACTACTGTTTAACCACTTGAAATACCCAGGTTACTATTTTTTACCTGTGTTAGGTTGTGCCCTGCTCTCTCCTACTCTATAACTATTTGAAGTAAAAATTCTGGTGTTACATATGTCACTCTATTACATTATTATTTAATCTTATACACCATTAAATAACAGGGCATTTTTAGCAATAGGTTAATATTAGCAGGCTGAAACATTCATTTTAGAAGCACATCCACACATAGTGCTTGTGTACAAATGCTGAAAAGCTGATATTGATATTAGCTCTTGGTATTGTAAGATACTTGATATTCTATAAATGGTCTTTGCAGTGAAATGTTGGTGCCAGTGTATATCTACCAATAAGAGTTTGTGTGCTGTGCTAAATAATTAAACTCATTACAGTACTGCGTAGGATAACTCTTGTTACAGGCAATGTTTGTTATTTTCCATCTGTTGCTACTTCATTTTATTTCCACTGTCAATCCCTCTTTCACTCTTTGAAAGATCCTTCTATGGAACTTGGAGGAGGGTAAGGCGGTGAGGATGTTTGACAGCCATTCGGATGTGATCCTCTGCATGTCCTTCAACACAGATGGAAGCCTGCTGGCAACCAGCTGTAAAGACAAAAAGCTGCGAATTATGGATGCCCGCTCAGGAAGGGTGCTACAGGTGAGTCATTTCAACATCTGAGGAATGATTCACAGCCACTATGCACAGCAAAGCCTCCAACTGCCATGGTTGTTTTATTTGTTGTTTTTATGGTAAAACTTGTATATTTGCTTCTTAAAGCAAAATGATGACATACGATTACAGTGACCCTCACATCTCCAAATTAGTAACTGTAAGGAGAAGACAAAAACCTATTCTACTTTTAATGTAAGATAGTGTAAAAAGTTTTTTAATTCAAGTAGTTCTGGAGCATTTGTATTGGTCCGTTTATCATTTTCACACAATGTAAAGAACTGCTGAGCTCAAATAATGTAGAAAACACAAAATTAAGATACTTGTTTTTTGTGTGATGTTATATATGTTGTAGAATCAAATATAAGTTTGGCTGACTGTTTTGTTGAGCACTTTTAAAACATCAGAATCAAAGATTTTTTTCATTTCATTTGGCTAAATGTTTTAAAAGTAGTGGGTGCAATATTAGTGACATCACTTTGCTTGCACAGCTGATAAAGGACTTCCATCTGAAATGTCCTGACTTTATCTACTGCCCAAATTTTTCCAGCCTCTCTCTGTGTATACAGGAAGCAGACTGTAAGCGGCACAGAGTCGGCAGGGTGGTGTTTCTAGGCAACATGAAACGTGTGCTCACAACTGGAGTGTCTCAGTGGAACACCAGGCAGGTAGCACTGTGGGATCAGGTGAGCTTAAAACATGTGATGACAGTTTGTTTTCATAGAACACTTCTTCTATGTTTACAACAGTGTTATGAAGGAGTGTAAAAATACATAGATGAATTGTGATGCATTAATCCGAAAGCGACTGATTGATTTTGGAATAAATTACACTCAATAAAAGTAATACTTAATGAAGTATACACTCAAAATAACACAAGTACAAAAATTACAAAATAACACCAAGTACGCAAATCCTGAACTTGAGTGAAAGTAGAGGAGCCTTTATAAGGTGTTTTCCTTAGTAGTAGAAGTCCTCCAATTACATTCCAACTTGAGTCTGCATCCAAATGTACTTTCTTTTAAATGTCTTGGGATCCATGTATAATGTTTGTGTGGTTTTATGTATCAGTAACAGTCATGTTACATGTTACAGTTTCCAACCTCTCATTTCTTATCCCTTAGAATTACACACGCTCTATTGTTTCTGTGCCTTCAAGACTGATATATGCCAATGAGCTCTGCTTTGACTGGCTGCCCTGTATTGCGCCTCATTTAAATAGTAGTCTGGGCTGAAACGCTGCTTATAACTTCAGTGTGAATGTGCGGAACTAAACTGCTGTAGGCTCAGTAGGCGGCTATATGTAAATGCATTGTGACAACTTTTGAAGATAGAAGCCATTCAAATAACAGTCAGAAAGTAGTCAGAAAGTCTCATCAAATACAAAACCTAACCTGTTTGAATGTTGTAAGCTAATTTTTCATGAAAAATATTACATTTCACTTTGTTTTCCACTTTATCTTTAAGTAAAACAGACAGCTTGACTGTCGATGTACATGTGTGGACAGTGATAGCAGAATGTCTCACACTCCATGTGTCACTGTGTAGAATTGAGCCCACAGCTTTAATCAACCCTTAATTCCCAAATGCCTGAAATTAAAGAATTCCATCTCTTCAGAGTACTGACACACGCTGCGGTAATTAGAGGAGGGAAAAGCTGAAGTGTAGGGGAGTGAAGGTAAAAATCTAAAAAAATATATATATACCTTAATAAAGTAGAGGCCCTCAAAATAGTACTTAAGTATAGTAACAAAATACATCTACATCATTACTGTCCACCACTGAAAATTTCCAGGCTGTTTTCAAATAAAAAAAGCCATACACACCTTGTATTGCTTTTACTGTCTATATTTCACTACAGTGTAAATAAAAAATAACATTTTGGATAGATATAAATCAAAAATGACCAAAATAATGGAATCATGGTGCTTTGGGGTTTCATGACGCATTGATATCCTGAAGAATTGCAGTCATTTCATTCCAGATTTCAGCCCCTAGTAGTATGTGTCTCTGAGTGTGCATGTGTGCATGTTCCTCTGTAGGAAGACCTCTCTGTGCCAATCAGTGAGGAAGAGATAGATGGACTGTCTGGACTTCTCTTCCCTTTTTATGATGTGGACACACACATGCTGTACCTGGCAGGCAAGGCAAGCGCTGCTTTGTAATTACACTACACAGTAATCACAGTATCCAGATGTGCTGCATAATTGTGTAGCACTGAAGTACGGAGAAGGATCTATTTGTATTAATCAGTTGTATTCATATCTCACTTGTGCGAAAGGTTTCAATTTTATTTGTCTGGAAACACAGATAAGAGTCAGGAGTATTGGATTGTTTAGTTTTCCATTGTGCTTCACAGGGAGATGGGAATATCAGATATTATGAGGTCAGTCCAGATAAGCCGTACCTGCAGTATCTAATGGAGTTCAGCTCACCTGCTCCACAAAAAGGACTAGGTAAGTCAAATAGCATACATGGAGTTCATATAGCCTTATACTACAAAGAGTACAGCGAGACGATTTTATCCAGCATTTCCTATAGAGTTAAAGGGACACTCCAGCCAAAATCCAAAACATAGCCATTGCTACATCTATCGTGAACATGCTCACTCAGGTACTACAATGGTGCCTTCTGATTATATATCTTGAAGGTGGGAGGAACTTTTGAAAAACTACAACAGCTTTATTTATTTATTTATTTTTGTTAGCTGGTGAATGTGGAAGCCAGACAGCTAATGTTACTGTTAGAAAGCCAAATATCTTAAAGCTATGTAACTGTAGTAGCTGTCCTTAAATCGTCATTACAATGGAGAGAATAGATTGCTTAAATAACAGAAAGACTCGTCAGATGAGGAGGACAATGATACCTGAGTATCTAGAGATCTCAGTTTGGCTCCTTTTCTCTGGCTGAAGGGGTAAAAACGTGTCTCTGGCATCTATCTTGTTCTGAATAAAGACAGAATCAAAATTTTCTTTACGGTTTTGTTCAAAAACTGAGGTAAGAGTTATTCTTTGTTGGTTGTATTTATTAGCAAAGTTAGCAGGCACGATTGGTTGATGCCACAGGGATTGCCAATGGCTGTATGATGTATTTGCATAATGCATGCTGAGTATTATAGTGAGAGAACATTGATGAATGAAAACATCAAAATAGGCCTCTGCCTGGTATTCACCAAGTTACCATGGTAACAGTCCTCAGTGATGGTCCCGTTTACATCCGGTTTAAAAAATCTGTGTTCATTTATTGATTTACTTCATGCAAAACATTGCAAGACACTAATGTTCCCACATGTAAACATACTTGAACTTTTAAGCATGTTTGGTGATGTGATATCCTGCTTTGATATCATATTTATTGTACCTAGCATAGATAAGATTGTTCTAGAAATGCAGCTGCGCTGACCACAGTGTCAGGTTTCACACATCAGAAAAACACGCTTCATGTCTTGGGAGTAAAATGGGTTAAAAAATCATGTCTCAGCTCTTTTACATCAGACGAGATTTCCATACAGCCTCAGACAAAATGGCTTAGAAGAAGGTGTCTATGCTAAGCAACCACAAAATCTCAGATGGTGTGAAATTTGCAATTTTGTACTTTATTACTAGATTAATTACAGTTTCATGGCCAAATTAAACATGACAGTGTACTACAACCACAATGTTTACTGAACTGTGCTTTTACTAAGTTCTTTTATTTGACAAAGATCAAGCTTCAACTCACTGTGCTTGCTTCCATGTCTGCTTCAGTGTAAGGGTAAATGAAAAAAAAAAAATCTGTTCCCCTGAGCCTGGTTTAACTGTTTACTGTGATTACTTTCCACATGGTTACTCAAATAAGAGGACTCTATTACCGACACAGGCCCACATGAAAACAATATTAAATCATCAATTCTGTCACAACAATAAGGCTGAGAGATAGGACACTGCACTACAGTGTCCTGCATAACATAAATAACATATTAAATGCTAGTTTTAGGCTGGAAGGCCTCTTTAGTGTGTAACATTTAAAAACTTCTGAATCTGGCCTGCTTATTATTTCACTAATCAATAAATAGAGAGCTTGCTAACCAAAAGAAAATGCTGTGGTCTTAGTGCACAGTGAAATGTGTTTCATATGTAGTCAGAAAAGTACATTTTGCCTGCGATTAATGATTCATAGTTTAATATTGTGTTTTGACCTTTGTAGGTGTGATGCCAAAGCGGGGAATGGACGTGGGAGAGTGTGAAGTGTTTCGTTTCTATAAGCTGGTGACAATGAAAGGTCAAGTGGAGCCCGTCTCAATGATAGTGCCACGCAGAGTGAGTGGAATAATATGTTGGGTCCTGTGTAAAGCCGTAGGCTTTTCAGATTTTTGACAACATTGCTATGACATGCTATACTGCAGTGAGCTGGATTTGGACTGGGTAAATAATGTCAACATGACAGATGACATTGATATGCTGTCACAGGCAGAGAAATTCCAAGACGATATCTACCCAATGACTGCAGGTACAGAGCCAGCGCTGACTGCTGAAGAGTGGCTCAGTGGGATCAACAGAGGTAAATAATTATTTTGTTCCACATTAATTTCATATCACAATGATAGCCTTACACATGACCATGTATATGTTACATAGGACCAATCCTGATATCTCTTAAGGAGAACTATAAGCGGCCAAACCCAGCTGGCCCTAAAGCTAAGAGAGAAAGAAGAGCATTGGCAATGAAAGGACTCGACCTGCTAGAGAATGTCTCTCCCAAGACAGATAATGAGGTGTGTATGTGTAATTTTGTGTATGGTGATAGGATCCACTATAAAAAAGAAAGGTGTCAAAACAGTTCTTTGAAGCAGTGCCAGAATCCTCTGTATGTAGAAGTTCCTAAAAGATGGTTCTTTAAAGGAATGCTCCCCTGCTTCTCAACCTAGCTGCTGTTTCTGTCGCATATGGCAACAGGTGCAGCAGCCAGAGATAAAACATAGGAGTATTCCTTTAAAGAATCATCCATTGAACATTTATTTATGGATCCAAAGGTGGTTCCTCTGCCCCTTCCAGGGAACCATTTTGGTAGATATATTTTCTTAAATGTATAATGTATATGCTTTAGAGTTAGTAGTGGGTGATGTACTGATTCAGCCAATGTAGCAGTAGAAATTCTTCTTAAGGTATGAGTTTTGTCATAACCTTAATACCAGTATACCACAAATAAGTGCAGGTAATGCAATGCACAAACAGTGCAAACTACGCTACCATTAGCTTTTTTAGCTGAATGACAGAGTCAGAGATGATTCAATTGCATTTCAAGTGAAAATGAGAAAGCAGCAGTCCCTCTATTCCTTTCCCCTGTGTATTCTGTTGCAGTTTGAAGTAGTTCAGTTTTGGAGGCAGCGCACATAAACGAGTAATATAAAAAGGAAAGGCCATTCTTTTGAGGTTAGCCTTTAGCCATGCAGCTGCATCAGGCAGTGCCACGGTGTTAGGGACTGGTCCATGCAACGATCCGAGGACCAACTTGTTCTGATAGCATGCATGCCTTGTAATATTTAACAAATTCTTATAGGGGTGTGTATGGGTGCTTGAGTACTTAACTGTACAAGATTCACTATTCACTATTTGGGTACACGTTACATTCCATCACAGAAAGACAGAGAAATTGAAGTAAGCATGTTGCCACTGAAGCGCATTATTAAAAACTTAGGCAGAGACAACATGGCCTGTGTGACTTCAGCACTAACTAGACCGACAACTCTAGCTGATGTTAGCTAGGTCCAGAAACAGTTGGGGTTAGGGTAGCAATATTGACTTAGACTTATCTATATATTGTTTAGTTTTCTTTTTACTTTATATTTTATAAATATTTGAAATTTACTTCAGTTGTTATATATGGATCTTAAGTGGAATAATAAGCGGTGGCTAACCTACAAAAATAGGTTTACTTAACCATCTAAAATTATTTTATACTATTCTGTGATACATACTGAAATCATTAGAAATTTTAATTATATTGTGACATACATTCTCCAATACCAAACACTATTATTCAAAGTGCAGTAGATAAAAATTGCAGTGTTTCAGTAGCAAGACATAAAATTGCAAATAAACTTACATATACTATGCATGTTATTAGTTATGTTATTAGTACATGATATTTATTGATGATACTGAACATGTGTGATATTAATTTGCTCTGTGTTTGTGCGTGTGTATGTGTTTCTGTAGTTCCTGAGGATGTTCTACAGGCAGCAAGATGAACTTAAACGACTACAGAAGGAGCTCAGTGATAAGGATGAGAGAATAAGACAACTGGAACTAGAACTCCACAATCTGAAGAATGTGACTCATTAAACTCATTTCACACATGATGTACACTAATGATGTCCTAATAAAACGATCCACATTAACTGCAAGAGCTGCAGTTTGCAACACTTGAAAGCTGGACATTTCCTTAATCTCATCTTAATTAGTAACTCTACAGAGGATCACTAGGACTGAAGGATATCTAGGTGGCTTTTAATGGCCGCAGGTCTGTTGCAGATATCTATATGAGGTCTAACAATGATTCTGTACCTTGCATGTTGATCCCAAACTGGAAATGCCAAATTCTTAGGTTTTGTTTTATTAAAAAAATGGCCTTTCATACTTCTGCAGTATTTACTCTCAGTATAAACATGAAGGCATGAAGGCAGCTGACAAAGTATTTCTCTGCTTCTGTTTATGCAGAGACTGCTTGGTATGAAGCAGAAGCAGCACTTGAGCCTTTAAGGCCTCAGTCAGGACTGAAACAGTGAAATGGCCTCAGCACATCTTGGTCCACCAACAGATGGCAGTGAGGTCACACTGCTTTTACAACATTGTCCATGTCCAAACTATAAAGCACTATGATGATTTATTTCAAAACAATAAAACATACATGTTTGTATAAATTAATATCATTTTACAACAATAGATCTCATTTCCAACTGACAGTAAGTTCAAGTGTGAAGTAAATCCTCTCCTAACATTATGCCAGTCACAGTACAGCACATTAAAAGGGTGGGAAACAGTTTACATAGAGCCTGCTGTATATATTATTGATATAACCATGCCATAAACATGTTATGAAAGATATCATATGCTGTCTTGAGCTTTGACATGTCCATTAATATAATGTTACCATTACCAGTAATTGTAGGTCTGATGTTATAACAGCTAACAGCTGTTCACTTTTGAAATTAGTATGTATCATAAACTGTCGTGATAAGCATTATGGCATCTGTCATGATAATTACCAGTAATGGTGACATGATGCTGTTATATTGCTGAACAAAATCTGCCATGTCAGCTCATGACATTTTATGGCATGATTATGTCAATGTTATGTAGCACTGCAATTAATGCTTTTTATTCAGTTTGTTTGAAGGTGATTTAGTTTTATTTCAATCATAGATATTAATTAAATGTTATAAACCCAAAAAACTGCATTTGTATCTGGACTGTGGTGGAACTGGTTGAAATCAGGCCATAACGGCAAACTTCCAAAAGGATTCCAAGTTGTTATTGCCATGCCTGATTCCTAAGTAACATCTAAGTAACTGTTCAAATTCTTTTCTTTTGGTGTTCAAGTTCTTTGCTTTTCTTTCACAGACAGCTCTTACGTCTACATGCTGGTTTCAGTATCCTGGCTCCACAGACAGAAGGCCAGAGGCTGTGGTGATGAATTGCAGGCTTGATATAATTTTTGTGGCAAAGTAAAAAGATAACTTATTACTATTAACCTCTATACTGTATCAGTTACCTATTTATTTGCTGGAATATTATGTTCACTGATGTTCAAATGCTCAAAATAGTGGGTGTGAAGAAAAGAATGTTCTATTATTCTAAAAACACTAAAAAGGTTAGGTTGTTCTACAATATAAGCCACATGGACTTCACTATCACTGGGTACAAGTGACTTGTTTGTGAATTTGTTTATGATCTGGTCTTGGAGGAACACCATCAGTGTACATTTTTCAAGTCGAATCTGCAAATTTGGATAATAAATTTGTTCTGAAAACTGGCCTTTTTTGATTTCTGTTTTTTGTAATCTTGTGACTTTACAAACCACATGAGAGAAAACACACTTTACATTTTACATCAGCACTGGTAATGTTGAGTTTTCAAGGCAGACCTCTGTAAAAGTAAAGCCTCAAAAGTATAACAATTCTCTCTCTGCCTCTTTCCCCATGTGTTTTTCTGTAAGAGCTTGAGGGAAGGTAAGAACTTTGCAGGAAAAGATATGAAAGCCTTCAATTTAATCACATGCTTGGGGGGCTAGCTCTTACCTCACTCACAGTAAGGGGTATTGTAGTGAAAACTACATTGCAGATCCAAACCATACTGTAAGAAAATGACCGCCAGAAAATGACAGGCACTCATTTTCTGACTCTTCTGACTTTTCTGAATCTACTTACTGAAGTAGCCCTCTGTGGTTACATCTTGCAGAAAATTGTTTGGTTTATGGTAAGCCACCAGATGGGTCTCTGATTGTGCTATTCAATATAAGAAGATGAATAACTCTAATATTGTGGGCTGTGCCGAATGCCAAAAGAGCCTTACGGGAAAGAAACAAAGTGATAAATGCAATAAAGTCCTGCAGTACATAATACAAAAAAAATTGTTCAAAACATTTTGGTGAGCAAAAAAAGTCAGATAAAATATGAAAAATGAGGATACACTGAACAATAAAATCTAATGGTAGTTATAGCTACATGCAGCAATTGTAGGGATCAGACACCTATAATAGTCAATACTTGGCCCAAAGAATCTGATGAAGATTTTCAGTGATTGTGCTATTGACACCATGATGTTTATTTACTTCAAAACCCAAAGTAAATTATGTAATATTCTTAAATTCTGCATTAGATATCTTCATCACATAAGTGCCTGAACAATATACAGTGTGTATAGGGCATAGTGAAAGTTGTAGGCTTAGTTTGTTATGCCTAAACTACTGCTATGAAACCAGAAACTGGCATTTTCATTGTATCAGCCCAACAAAAAGGTGGATGCCTTTGGTCTAAGTCTTCCAAAACTGCACGCTGTACCACTCTGTATTCGAGGGTTGAGGTTGAGTAACACAGGGCGTAGATCCTGAGTGTATTTGGAGAGGATACTTAGGATTACATAATCAATCTCTGCACAGTAAGGAGAAAGAAAAGGTAATGCCCTTATGACTCTCCACATGTAAGATGAATGATCTCTGAAGACAGATTAGGTGTGTTTGTGCTGATTTCATCTGAAACCGAATATTAAACAGTTACAAGGCACCACTACCTTCAGTGAAGAAAGCTTTTTTATTTTCTACCAAAGCTAAAAGGAAAAAAAAACAGAGTAAGAAGGACCAACATTAATGATGACAATTATTTTATTTTCTTAAGTGATTTCACCTTTGTTAAGCCCAAAGTCTTTCCTCAAACATGTTTTAGTATGTCATTTTGGCCCACTGCAACATTCTTGAAGTTTATGGTCTAATTTTATTGGTTTCTCTATTTTAGGCTATTAAAATGTTTTTGTACCTCTAAACTGTGAGAACGTTTCAAGCCAGATCTAGAACTATGTTTTCTAGAACTAAGTTTTATGTTTCCCATGTCCACCCAAAACACTATCCAAATTGATATCCATTAGATCTGTTACTTAAAGGAGGTGTGCTGAGGTGCTTTCAAAGACAGCTGTTTTAAAGGCTTCAGCAGTGGCATCGTGCAATTTAGCTCCAGTGAAATGACATTAGCTGAAATATGTGTATACACAAGTGCAGTATGGTGCTATGGTGTTTACAAACTCTGGTACGCAACTCCTTAGATGTTCCTCAAATATAAAAAATCACTTCACAATTAATAACGCTTTGTAGTTCTGGTGTGTAAAAACTCCCTAAAGATATTTGTATGAGCTAAGCTAAGCTAAGCTAAGCTAAGATAAGATAAGATAAGATAAGATAAGAAAAAAATAAGATTAGGTAAGACTTTATTTATCCCCAAAGGGAATTATAGCCCACATACAAGACAAACACTGAATGCACATAAGTAAGGTAGAAATAATAAAATAGGCTTTAGTCTGGAACATCATTGACTGATGTCTGTTTTTGCAACCATGTGCTTGTTGTTTCTAGCTCTCCAGAATGACAGTGATGGAGGAACCTGAAAAGTTTTCCTAGAACTACATGGGATTTGAGAATGTGCCAGTTTTAATGAATAATATTAAGAGGCTCTGGACCTTGTGGGCTTTAGGTATTAATTATGAATTGGATAGGGGACTTGGATCTACAATTGTTTTATAGGGGTTATTTAACAACTGTTGCCTTGTGGTATTCATCAGTCTGTCTTCAGCCCTGTCTAATCAAATGTTATTGTAAAGTTTTTTCTTTAAACCTGTCCAGAATTTCTTCCTCTTCAAAAGTAGATCCAAAAGAACTATCACTAGAGCAAATAGACTTTGCTATGTATTGCTCACTCACTGGGAGACTCATCTCAAGTGAGCGAGGCTGGCAACTCTAGGCATGTAGAAATTTTTTATTTTTTTTTCCTAAACCTAAACAGATCTAAAGTAACTCATTTTTGCCCGGAACATCCAAAAAAAACCCAAACACGTTTCAAGATAAAGAATGTTGTAAATGCTCAATAATCAAATGTAAAAACTGGTGAAAACTATGCAGAGTAAGAATTACATTGGTACAATATGAAAATCTCATCAATGTCCATTTGAATTAATGGATGTTTAAAATATGGATTACTGGCCTTGTCTAAAATTGTAAACTTCTCAGTATGCTCCAGATGTACATTTGCAAACTTAGGAGCCATCTGAATAAAAAGCCCTGTTGCACTACATGGCAAGAAAAAGCCATTGTCAATTTTGAAATAGTTCCTTTTAGGCAGCAAGCTCATCAATGTGGCTGGAAAGGAAGAAGGAAAGCTTGGGTCAGGCCTCAAATCAAGAAACTGTGCGCAATACTCAAAGCCAACTTCATGTGTAATCACGATATATAAGGATGGAACATCAAATGACGCTAAAAAACAATGATCTAGTGCCTAAACTCAATTTGAGAGCCTCAGGAAGCCCCCGTGTCTTTCACATGGGATGGGAGACCTGCTACCTAAGCTTTTAGATGTTAGTCCACATAGGAAATCTTTTCTATGATACTGCCAATTCCTGAGGCTATGGGTCTCCCTGCTGGCTCTTCCAGACATTTGGTAATAACAGAGGGTTGGTAGCTAAGGGTGATGAACATGCAGGAAGATACAGATGATCTTGTTGATGTTTTCTCTGAGGGCAACTTCCAATGTCTCTTTCACCCTTTAAATGGCCAGGGCCCTCCAGCAGAGCCAAAGTTTTATTACACATTTCTATAACCTTACGAAAGCTCAGCCAGGTTGCAGTGAAGTCCCTGTACTTACTGAATAATAAGCCTTAGTATCTAATAAGCCTGGGATTTTAAGGGCTTAAACAGTTTGTTATAGGCACAAAAATGGTGTCTTTTGTGTTGTCTTGTGCATATGATGAAGGGCTTAAATGTGGGCCCAAACATCATGGTTTTAACTTAATAAAGTCACGCTTTTCCTGTGATACAGAGTGAATCTGTAGTCTTTTTTGATTTTTGGCTGCACCTCACCTTTGTCTTGTCAGTTCTGAAAAGGGGCAATGCTCTCATGCCACTATCATCCAAAAGTGCCAAAAGGAATGCGGGGAGACACATGTTTAAAAAAACATTTTTTTTTTGTGACCAGAAGCACAAAGGAGGTAAGGACTGTAAAGGTTTTTGAAGGACTTCTACTCTTAATATCATGTCAAGTCAAGGCGTAGACATGTAAGAAAAGCTTTCCGGTCCTTTTAAAACTACACAATACCTAGACTTATCCTTCAAAGCATGAGAGCCAGGTAACACCCACCTGCAGTCTCTGAGGATTTAGGTTAGATGTACTGCCAGCAGCAAATGAGTGTTAAATCTGGCACACACAATCAAAGTTGAGGGCAAAACAACACATGCTTTTATGTCCACAAAGTCCCTGCCCCTACTCTGGGGAATACATTGTATTATGTACAATTATTTATTTATTATTTATTTTTTATAAGCAACAAAGTAGGTCTATAAGCAGAACTACGATGTTTTTTCCTGTTTATATTTTTGACTTCCTCTCTTGAGACTATGTGTATGTGTGTGTATGTGTGTTGTGTGTGTGGTGAAATAACTTCATTATTTGAGAATCAGTTTTTTTTTCTTTTTTTTTTCCTGTGCCGGGAAGTCATTTGATTTTACTAATGTGAATAACAGTTGACATATTATACAAGCCTTATCAGTATCTGCATGTGAACATCCTTCAAGTTACACAATTGTACACTTTTTCAGCTTATGTCTGGCCATTTACAGTTACATAAATAGTCACAATGTATACAGGATATATAGGAGCCAACCATTGTAAAGCAAGACATGGTGCAGGGTTGTGGCAGAAAGAAATGTACGGGATTCACAACTATACGATAAGTGTAGTGTTAACAGTATTGGCTACTGTAATTTGTTTTGATGTATTATATTGACGTATTGTATTTTCTTACAGATCCAAAAACAGTCTGGAGAGGTTAGTCTGTCAGAACAGTGACCCTCTGGTTATGGATTTTACACAGTCCTGGCTTAATGTCTGGCAAATTAAAAAAACATCTTCAGTTTTGGATGAAACATTGCAATGCAGACCCAACCTGAAGAATTTACATGGACAGGATGCACAAGCCGAAATATCCTTTTCCATGAATTGTCCTTAATTGTACTCATCTTGAGTCAAAGAATGCATGGAAGGATGTACCATCTACTGTGAACATACGTTCCAAGGTTCAGCCAAGGACGTGTCACAGAAAATTCAGTAAAGCTGTTATCCAGCACTTTTATTGTGTCAGATTCCTAGTATTGCCAGTATGACCAAGTTTAGACTAAATTTATAACCAAGTTTAATGCTATAAAAAATACTTGGTTCAGAATGTCCATTCAAAAGTGCTTAGTGTTGACTGTCTTTAACAAATATTTAAATTTGAAAC